CAGTTAACGGGGATACCTTATATCTTAGCAAGAACTAGGTTAATAGATTTATAATACACTATAAGATAATAGAAATAAAGCTATTAAGAGTTATAGATACTGTAAGGAAGCGTTATATTATAAAGGAGACGCTTATAGAATACTATAACAGTCTTGTCTATATTATTAAGTTTAAGAAGATCTTATAGGCTAATTTATATAACGTAAATAAGACTAGAGTCTAACTAAAGGAAATAAATAGCAGGACTATAGCCAGGACTGTTATAACTCCTAGTTTAGAGTATATAAAGTTAGATAATTTAACCTAGAGCTTGATCTTAAAGTCTATATTAGCAGATAGTTAGTGTCTAACCCTAACTATTATTTTTACTAGTAAAAACCTCTAAAGATAGTAGTTTCTAAGTATTTTCCTTAATTAGAAATATATAATAAGTCCTTTAAGTTAGTCTAATGCTAATATCTTCTTTAAATAGTTTATAGAGGTATTTATACCTAAGACTATACTATTAGATCTATCTTAATAGAGACTTCTAGTTCTAGATTAATATAAGTTATATATAATAGTAGAATTAATAAAAAAGGCTTAGTTAAATAAGATTTAGCTTTCTTAGTTACCCTTATATTCTTTATATATTATATAGCTGCTTAATATTGCTGTATTTAAGCTATTAAAATAGTACTATCGCTAGTTAACCTGATTTTAAGCCTTATATAAAGCGATATTACTATATTAGTAATAACTATTCCTAAAGGCCTATAAGGAGGCTTCCTAGAAAGCCCTAATTTAAAAGAACATTTTAAGTAGCTTTTTATTTACTGGTCTCTTTTTAATTAATATTTATAAAGCTTTAAAGTTATTAAAGCCTAAGGAGAAGAAATATAAGTCTTTTAAAGGGCCTATAATACTAAGGAAGTAATAGGTAATTACTAAGACTATATAAAGAATACTTTAAGGAAGTAAGGATATTAAAAAATAGCTCTAAGAGGCTTAAAAGAATAGAATTCCCTTAATCTAGGACTTTAATTATATCCTGAAAAAGGCAATAAAATCTATTAATAATAAGAATAGTTAAATATAGCGCCTAGAAAAGGAAAAAGCTATTCTTAAAGCGTCAGTAGCAGTAAAAGCCCCTATAGTATAACTATTACAGCAAGCATTCTAGGGTAAGAGGTCTAGCCTTAAAAGGAAGATTAGTTACTTATCTATAGTAAAGGGATATAAAAGGGATAGGGATTCTTTAAGACTTAGGGGGATATGCTTTTTACTTTATATTTTTTTAGACTTTCTTTTTAGACTGAATTTTATATCTTTTATCCTTATATCTAATACTATTAAACTAATTACTTAATTCCCTATTTAATAATAAAGACTTTATCTTAATTGAACCTATTTTGTAGGATGTACTTAGCTTATAATTAAGGCTATTAGAAGTTATTGTTTTTTATAGTCTTTTCCTTATTATTGCTCTTTACCTTTAAAATAGGCCGAGTCCCTATTTAATTTAACTCTAACTAGGCTTTTCTAGAGATTAAATAGATTATTATAGTATAAGATTAAGCTAAAAGGAATATCTTATATTAGATTAAAAGAAATAGATAAAAATAAAGGAAAAAAAATCTACTAAAAACACTAATAGTAAAAAAGGCATTCTTTAATTAGTATTTAAAATCTTAGAATAATTAAATAAATACTCGTTACTATATAATTAATTAAAGTTATCTACAGATCTTGTTATAAGGTTATTATAGGTGTGCGGGGTAGGGGGGTGTATGGACTGATAGTGGATTACATTAGATAACTGATTAGATAACTGATTCCATAGCTCGGCTAAGAGCGGCTCAGGTAGGTAGCTATCGGTAAACAGATACAAGATCTCTGGAACAACCTGACAAAGGATAGATGCCGTTTATGCAGCAAGACGGATGCTTCCCTCATGATTGACAGCTGCTCTACCAAAACCGGGCTTTATGATTAGTGGAAATTTTAGCTGTTGTTGCCGGTGACTTGCTTAGCGAGGTCCTTTTGTCAACCCACCATGGCGAGAGGGAACTTTGGAACCGACAATTGATACGTTGATCCACCAAAAGGAATCAGTCAGGCCATTGCGTCCATTGAGAAATTGGTAAAAACACGGTAGGTTGATCTTTCTGCAGGGCGGGAAATAAGCGAATGGCGAGGTAGCTAATCGCTACCCAGCCGAGGGTTACCCTACGCTTCCTGCAATTTATCAATCTTCAATTGATGAAGTCTTTTACACTCAGGAGAGATGGAACAATATAACTAAAATTAAAGTATAAATCTATAGCCTATTACGCTTCTAACTACTCGTTCCAAACCTCAGTCTTCGTTTCAGAACACCAAGCCAATCATCTACTTTAAAACTCTGTTCAGAAACAAGTCTTGAAAGCTTTTTGCCTCCAAAGTCATAACCATGCTCACTACCAAGCTCCTCATGATGACAATGGCCACGTTTGTCACGGCCACCCCAATTGCATCAGCCCCCAAGGCTGAGTCTACTGCATGGTCACCTCTCAATGCTGAGGATAAGATCGATTGGCACGGCGTCGATAAGAAAGCCTTCAAGGACCCAGCCAATTGGAACAATACTGCCTCGGCTGGCACCACAGAGAGACCTGCTGACTCTATGGTCATCCTGGCTGGGCCTTGTGAACAGGGTACTTGCCCTGATTACAACGCGGCATTCGACCTGGTCTACACCTTCAGTGCCGTGCCTGTTCCCCCATCAACCCTAACGACCCTCCCCTAACTATCTTCTCGTCCAACTCTGACATTAGAGTCAACGACTGCAACAACTGTCAACGCACCAAGGTCGGCAGCAGTCTCGGTGGCACTGTGGCTGGCGGCTGCTTGGACTTTACCTCGTGTGGCCGTGCCCAGACAATCTGCGTGGACCCCGGCAAGACCCGCGCCCACCGCATCTGGAAGGATAAGAACGTCAAGACATGTTACAACTTGAGGGTTGAGGATCTCGGAAGCTGCGGTTTTGTTAAGTCACGGATTGTCTTACACCCTACCGGTGAGACTGCGTGCAACTGGTAAACGGATTCGCGATCGGAGGAACGTGTTGCAAGGAACTGGTATAATATTCTTACTCTCTTTAACACAAAACATCAGAAACGGGATTGGTTGGGAACTGACCAGGAGAGATCTGTAGCGGGATGCAAGCGGGGGATAAAGTTAGTTAGCACGATATGAAAGCTTCTTGACTTACAAGATAAAATGCTAGACTATATTACTAAGAGACTTCCATGAACAGGCCCCAGCCAATTTCGAATGTCCACAGCAAATTAAAAATTCCGGACAACTCTCCGAGGCTAGCCAGCTATTCACGCTAGTAGTGTTGTAGCAAAGCAACGACTGAGAGCAGACTCACGCCACTACTTGCTGGCTGATTGGGTGTGTTTTAACCAGGAAGCAAGGCAGCCGATACGCAGCCAGTATTGTCACTGGAATCTCCTCTCTTTTTGCTGAACATTTCTTGATCACGCGAGGTCTTGGATCTACGATACCTGCGTTGAGACCAGGCCTTCTGCTACGCTATCTACAGGCTTCACAAGCTAAAGGATGCTAATTGGATTACTCGTGGAAGACTTAGTGTAGATAACTTATAACCTGAAACTGAGTCCTGTAGGAATGATCTTGTGGCTACCATTCCCTCCATCAATTTCGTGGTACTTGAGCTTAAACAACCTCTTTACCGGTTTCATTTGCCCCATGGGTGACGTTGCCTAACTTCCTCTGCTTGCGCCATTCCTCAGCATAACGAACTCCGAATCCATGATCAAAGACGACGCGGATCTCCTCCAAGGTCATTCCAGCAGCCTCGGGATAGCAGAAGAAGACAAAGACGAAACCTAGAAAAGACAAGGCAGTATAGAAGCCAAAGGTGCCAGAGGGGGAGATGCCACGCATCATTGATAAGAAAGTGGATGAGACAATAATATTAGGCCCCCAGTTGCACATGTTGATCATCATTGTACCCATAGCACGGACTTCCATGGGGAGGAACTCATTGGCTTGCCAGGGCACGCAGCCAAGACCAGCTGCGTAGCTGGCGACAAAGAGAATCATGGAGACAAGAACAACAATCGCAGGCCATCCAACTTTGTCATCTGTGAGTTCCAGAGTTTGCCGATCAATGGGTATCTTGGTGAACACTCCAGCTGCCAGTAGGAGGAAAACAGGCATTCCCCACATGGTCCAGAGCAATAGTCTACGACGACCAACTCTGTCAATAAGGAAGATGGAAGCAAAGGTGAAGATCCAGTTCGTGGCGGTTACAATTGTACCGACCGCGATAGGGTTGTCGAAACCGACGATCTGAAAGAGGGTACTGGAGTAATACATCATGGTGTTGAAGCCACAGAGTTGCTGAGTAGCCATGAGACCACAGGCCACAATGGCCGCTCGACGATTGGCAGGAACAGTCACAAGACTCTTGAGAGATTGCCGAACTGAGATCTCTTCGTTGAGAGCCTTGGCTTGTGTGACACCGTATTGTATATCGGTCATCATCTGAGCGACTTGGGTCTCGTTGGCTGTCGGATACATTCGTTGCAAGACTCGAAGACATTCGTCCGATCGATTATGGAAGCACAGTTGGCGCGGTGACTCGGGACACCAAAACAGAAGAACTCCAAGGAGGATGGACGGGAGTCCTCCCAGTCCAACCATGTATCGCCAGCCATGAGGGACTTTGTAGAAGGCTGCGTCGAAAGCATAGGCGAGAAGGGAACCGGTCGCTAGGAACACCATATCGATTGAGATCATTCGGCCGCGGTACTTAGCAGGTGCAATTTCCGCAATGTAAAGTGGGATAATCTGGCTCGCGTATTAGTAACCGTAGATTGGTCTGCCACAGAGCCCAAATAAACATACCATCGAGGCTGAACCGACACCAAGACCAACGAGAACTCTACCAACACACATTTGGACCAGCGAGTATGAAGCAGCCTGCACAACAGCGCCGATAGTGAAGAGCACCGAGGCAAACCAGATAGCAGGCTTTCGTCCATACTTGTCGGCAGTGATTCCCGCAATGATGGCTCCGATGAACGCACCAGCTGCGCAAAGAGCAGTGATGAGATCTTTGTTACTGGGGGTTAGAAGGCGACCGTCAAGGTCATCTCCAAGAACCACGAGAACACCAGAGATGACTCCAGTGTCGTAGCCAAAGAGCATGCCACCGATGGCGGTTGCTACAACGCAAAGGTTGAGAAAAAGACCAGGAGCAGAGTCTTCAATGAAGACTTGTCCTCCTTTAGGGTCATTTTCGACGTGACTGACTTGCGTCTGAGACGCCTCCAAGACTTCGTCGTTCTTTGCCATCTTGTTGTATAGAGGAGGTAAATTGAATGAAGAATATGATGGAGCTGATGATGGATGAGGGAGTGAACGTGGTGACCTCTGGCTTTTTATATTTGTTATTCAGAGTTGAGGGCAGCTGTGATGAGGTAAAGACCTCATCTGTTAGGGAGTCCCAGGACTGGCAAACCTGTGGCTAGACCATGCTGATCGTGTCACTCACCAATGAGCGTGCATGGAAATGGTTCTCTGATTAGAGCGTAGCCAAACCTTGATTCTGGGGTAGAAGCGGAGAACCTTCACATCGCTTCTCTCCCCATGGGGTTGAGGTAGACGAGCAAGATTGGCGTGATGGGAATCAAGCCCGTTGGTCAGTGGTCGAAAGGCGTGAAACGGATGGGAAAGTGTATCCGTTGTCAAAGGAATTACTATGTAGGGTAATGAAACCATGACTCGTGATCGTTGCTCCACTCATCTTCTTATACTGGGCAAGTCTATCCGCATCAAGGGCTAGTCTCTCCGCGATATCTAACCCACTTTTCAGCGGGTAATAGATGACGCCCAGAAAAGCAAGTCGATGCAGAATTTGGGCATTCTTTTCCGCAACAACCCTACCATTCCAAACTTGCAACAAACAGCCAGGTTCAAATCGCAGGAAAGATGGCCATGTTCAAAGACAATGTTATCCACCAAGAGAATGCAGATGCGGGGAGCTGGTGGAGGGGTATCCGGGGACCTACATCTGCTAAGCTTCTAGCAGTTGTAAAAGATTAATATAAATGCAAGTTCAGTACCTCCTCGTTCTTGGGAATCATCAACCATTGGCCTCTCATTCTTACACTCTACCAATCGCCATGTCACCTCAGAAGCTCAAGATCGCTGCTGCTGGCCTCGGCCGTATGGGCAAGCGTCATGCCATCAACTTTCTCAATCGAACACCCCGCGCAGAGCTCGTGGCTGCCTTCACCCCCGATCCCACAGAGATGGCCTGGGCCAAGGCCAACCTTGAGCCTCATGGTGTAAAGCTCTACGATGATTATCAGAAGATGATCGAGCAGGAAGGTCTCCAGGCCGTCGTAATTGGTACTGCAACCTCGGTTCACGCCGAGGAGGCCATCCAAGCTATGCAGAAGGACCTTCACGTTCTTTGTGAGAAACCTTTATCTACAAGCATTGAAGTGGTGAGCATTCTACCTGTCCAAGTTCTCAACACGCAAGTAGTCTGATTGTCCTAGTGTCGCCAAGTTGTTGCCGAAGCCAAGAAGCGACCTCACCTCAAGGTCATGTGCGGGTTTTCCCGCCGCTTCGACGACTCCTATCGCGATGCCTTCAGCAAGACCCAACAGGGCGCCATCGGCCGACCTACAATCATCCGCAGTCAGACTTGCGATAAGCACGACCCCTCAGGCTTCTTCGTCGAGTACGCTGCCTGGTCCGGCGGTGTTTTCGTCGACATGTCCGTGCACGACATCGACCTAACTCTCTGGTTCTTTGGTGATGAAGTTATTCCTAAAAGCGTGTCGGCCCATGGTGTCCGTGCCGTGCAGCCCGACTTGGGCAAGTACAACGACTACGATAACGCTGTTGGAATCGTCGAGTTCTGGGGCGGCAAGATCGCGTACTACTACTGCTCTCGAATGATGGCCCACGGACAAGAGGATACCACAGAGGTTATTGGAACAGAGGGAAAGCTGACAGTCAACGGAAACCCCCAGTCCAACCTTGTCAATTACTATCACTCTGGCGGTATCACCCGCGAGGTACCCGCTCACTATTACGGACGGTTTGAGATGGCTTTTGTGCAGGAGGCGAATGAGTTTGCTGAGGCCTGCCTGGATGACAAACCTCTCCCTCTCAAGCTTACAAACGCTGTGAGGGCGGTTGAGATTGGTGCTGCCCTACAAGAGGCTCTTGTGAGTGGAAGGCAAATCAGGTTCGATGAGATTGGGCGTCGCATTGAGGAGCCCAAGCTGTGATGCATCATAGGTTTGAGAGAAAATATATAGATTGGTGTTAGGTATTGTTAAGTATCAGTCCTCATTCGAGTCTTGCGTCCATTGTTGCTGCAATGATAAACTTAGTGAATCTGTTTGCCAGCCAGTCTTTTCCTGTATATGTCGTAAAAAATCGAGAACCATATTCTGATCCAACCTTTCGGTAAAAACGCTGCCCCCTGCAAGGTGTTAGAAGAAGGAACTATCATTTGGCGATTGGTGCGACTGACAAACAGATAATGAATGCCGAGCTGTAAAGAGCGCATTTTCGGCTTTTGCATGAGAGCTTGCCAACGCTATGATCTGAAGTAAATGGTTTCGAATCGTTCGCTATATCAGTCAGTGAGATCTCATTATGGGTTCGTGGTAATTGAATTCTCACCTCAACCTTCTTGCTCTCTCGAATCTGTTCGAAGACTGAATCTGTAGCAATAGGTAAAGACATTGCAAGAACGATCTTGGCAATGTGGTAGTATTGTAAACCCACCGCTAATATCGCCGATCAGCCATCAGCATAAATCAGGTCACCCGCAGCGTGACTTACAGTGAAAAGGTGAGAGGACCCAAATAATGGGTAGCAATTTCCCTTCATCCTTGTTTCTGGCACTTTCTAGAATTGGGTTGAAAGCAGCCGGCTTGGAGTCAAACCAACCGTCAACTTCCAGTCTAATGCTCTCCAGGTTTTCGTTAGAGATGGATGGATCGGATGGGTAGATGGAGCTCAGAGACCGAGCAAGAAGGAAGACCATTTTGTTTGCGTAGGCTGCATCATCAGTGCGTCGAAAGATATCAGACTGGAGGTAGTTCTCTAGGTTTGACCTTAGAGGACGCAGTCTTGTCAGTGAAACGTAGATGTCTTGTCGTAGACACAGCCACGCTGCAGCCTCGCCGAGACCGCCGTTGAAGTCAAATTCTGACATTGAGTTGACGATCCTGGAAGTACCTGTCAAGTGCATCTCCATATCCTCCGCTATGAAAGTCAACATCAATGTCAATGCGGAGATATGATAAGGATCCAGACTTACCGTCCATCTCTTCGTACTGCCGCAGTATGGCAATGGCAGCAAGAGTTTCCTCATCGATATGTCCACTAGCTTTATCAACAGCCTCTATCAAAACACTCAGACAAGAATTGTAATACTCCAGTGCCTCAGTTGACGTATCTGCCTTATCTCGATTCAAATGACGCGAAGAGAAAGCAAAAACTGCGTATCGTAGCACAGGGAAGTACAGCGACCGGCGGGGAACTTCCAACTCGAAGTGGCGATTTATATCTGTCGCGTCAGCCCATAAAGCCATGTTTTCAGTAAAGTTCTTGACAAGCTCGGCCTCGCGTATTGTGAATTGCATCGGAGGCCGGGAATACGGTGAGTCTGGGGAACAAACTAGCTCAGAGCTGTAGCGGAGGTGTCGAGGCATTTGTGTACTCGCTGGGGAGTTTCCCGGTAATGACGCCACGCTGTGAGATACATGTGAGGTCGGTGATATGTGCGCCAGTGCAGACGCATGTTGATCCAGTTCTGTGGTATCAGGAACGAATGTCAAGTCTTCAGCCAGCGATGTTCTGGAGCTGTTAGCATACTCTAGGATAGAAACCCGCTCAGCTCACTCTTCTTGTCCCGGGTCCTCATAATCCTGTGACACTCGATCAGTTTCGTCGATGTATTCCACTAAAGTCGTCAGCTTTATGCTTCGAGAGGTAGCTGTTGCGTAGCCTACAAAATCTTCTAGGTCTAATCCAGGTTTGATCGGAGGAGAAGGTATATTCAGTCGAAAGGCCAAGGCCCGGTCGGAACCGGATTTGTAGAGCGCGCTCACAGTCTATGCCCGCCTTGACGCATGCCGAACATGAGGGTAGTTCTTTGTCACCTTGAATAAATTAGTGGGATTGAGTGCCCTTGTGCCCTTAAGTAAAACATACATCGTACATGGCGCACTGCCCCCGTCAGCATCTCACCAAAGCCTCAATCTAGCATCTCACCTACCTCTGCATGCAGTACTATCCGAGTCAGCCGCTGGTCGGGATTCGCGAAGTTGAACTTACCATCCGACGGCTACGCGACTATTTTTCTTAGGTAAGGGATCCCCTGCTTCCATTACAATGTTAATGCAAGAAGGAGAAGATAGTTAGGCATGGAACTTCGGCCAAATGAAATAGCGTTCAAGCTATATCACGTGACACGGTATAAGAATTCAGTATTTGCCTGCCTACTTACTATCAAAGCACTTGTTTCCATCAGGGCTACATAAATACAAGAGATTAACGATTGTGTATCTTGACGAAGAAAAGAACTGTGAATTCGACTTGTAGTACAATCCTAGTGATCCCCATTGTCATGGATACAGCTTTTGGTAGGTGAGCGATTGATAGAGTTCCTGATCAGTACCAGGCATAGCATAGATAGTAACTAATCCGTTAATATGCGCTATGATACCAACCCAAAGCAGGTCCTGTTGGCTGGAGGCATTTATGAACAGCTTCCCAGCCTGCCTCGAGCCTTCCAATCGCAAGACTACTCGCCCTAGTGCTCTCAATATCCGCCAAGCTAGTCTCACCATCAGGAAGCAGGTTGCATTTTCGGAGAGCCTCCTCTGGTGGTATGGTGCGTCTATTGTTCTTGAAGACATAGCGAGCAACAGACGATGCATAAACAGATTTGAGCATATCATCTTCTGTTTTATCATGTCCCATGGCTGTCTTGCACCTTTTCTTAGGTTGCAGCACGAACTCGGTTGGGTGGAAAACACCAGGCTTGACGAAATGAGTCACCACATATAACCATTTCTCATCCCAAGAAAGAACCCGAGTCCACAGCTCGTATCGAGCGTATGGTTTGATCTCCTTGCGCCATGTACAGGTTGTCCCGCCCAGAATCATAGTGAAATGTGTTGGTCCTGGTATCGGATTGAAAGCCCTTCCGAAGAGAAGGAGGCTAAAGTTTCCACGAGACATGTCCATGTCTGTGAAGTATGTTGAGTTTGACTTGTGGAGATTGTAATCGCATTCTAATGCTGGACACCGCGTGGCGCTGATTGCAGGGAGGAAAATGCATCGAGGAGAAATATGTTTCTCGGGAGCAGTGTCGGTAAGGCGGCGAGTGAAAGTACGAAGGAACCGTGCCTAGTTAAACTGTCAGTGATGAAATGATTCGCAGGTGTTTAAGATGCCAGTGTAGTTTACAAACCACATGAAATGTAGGGACTTGAGATTTGTCAACATGAAAACCAGCACCAGGGTTCTCCAACTGAGAATTGATGCCATTGGTGGAAAGACGAAGCCTGAAGAATTAGACCCTGTGTCGGCCATGTTGATGAAAGAAAGTGATAGTATGCAGTCACAGATGTAAGATACTGGTAAACGGCACATGTCACACGGCTTCCAGCATTCTTATCTGTAAAAGCTCTCTTAAATGAGAACAAATTGACTTGGAACCCCACAGAGGAGAAAACTCTGCAATATCTGTTGAGTGTTTTGTTGAGAGTCGTTCGGACGGAGTTTATTATTAGTATGACGGGGTCTGAGACCAGGAGTTTGCCCAAGGCCCCACAAGTTGCCGCGGTCTTGTTGCTGGCATGTGCCATCCAAGGTTCTACAATACTGTCGCATCGAGGCTACGCTACCGATAAATGAGGGGATAATCTTGTCTGTCTATTGTTGTTTTGGGGCCAAAGAAATGACCTAATTTGGAGGACCGATTTGACCAGCTACTCTTTTATGTTATTTCTTGACAGTGAGTTGACCTGATTGGCTTTTATAAGTAACCACTTTCAACTTGGAATGAATCTGCTATAACATGGTCGGTTCTCGTCTCTGCTGCGATGCACATGGCTTACTGTATGCTAGGCGTGCCCGAGGAACAGAAGCCTTGCCCCACATTGTGCTGAGTGGAGATAGATTACTACGCTGAGGATAGCTATCCCTTTAGATCTAAGGGAGCACCAGTTAAGTATTTTTATATAGCATGCTCTAGTATTAATTAGCTACTAATCTTTATACTATAAATACTAGCTTTAAGGAAATATAGTAATAAAAATAAAAGTTATAATTAATAGACTATATTATTAAGGGTACCTAGATCTTAGTAATAACTATTAATCAGGCTAAGTATCTCTAATACTGGCTTCCTTATTAGCAGGACTTTATAGAGGTACTTAAGTAATGCTCCCTTAGATCTAAAGGGATATACTTAGTAACGCAGACAGACTGACTCTACTCTATTATTCTTTATATTATAATGTTATAACTGAACTATAAAAGTAGCAGCATTTACGAGTAATTGAAAGATTTAATAGCCGACCTCGGTCCTATGTTAAGTCTTCACAACGTCGTGGCTTGTGAAGTCACTGAAGGAGTTGAATCTGCCGAAATAAGCCACCAAGCATATTAAAACAGGAATTGGAGCGGTAAATTAATTCATCTCGACTCGTCCACCTAGTCATGTTGGAGACTTTGACTCTCGAGTTTGATCTTCTATCGGTGTCCTTGTTGATATTGTTAGGGTAGTTGCTTCTTTGTATATTGATTGGCCGGTTTAATTCTGTTAAAACATTATATTGCTTATAGGAATATCTGTTAAGCTTTAGCTACCGTTTATTAGGTCGACTACCTCGGCTCTTTCTAAGCGCTGTTTGTGTCTCTGCTGTCTTTTACCTTTGGAGACTCTGGATAATAATTGACTTGCATGATGCCGCCGAATAGCGGCAAACCCCATAAGCGGGCGCATGTAGCTTGTAAAGCCTGCAATAGTCGTAAGGTCAGGTGCACCATCGCATTGTCTGGCCCCCCTTGTGCCAACTGTGCGGTGGACAACGTTCCCTGCGAGATCAAGAGTCGCAAGCGGTGACGGCACGTTTGCCTCCTCTCTAGATCAGGCAGTATGTATAGCTAAGTTATATAGGAATACCGATATCCTGCCTACGATGTCTGATCCCGAAAGGCAAGACACTTCTATGTCAACGGGACAAACTCCTCCAGCAGTATAACTCGGCAATTCGCAAAGCGAGAGTCCCTACTAGGATACGCCTGACCTAGCGAGAGATAGTAACCCATCTTGTTAGGACTTGATGACTGGTGGACCTAGTGATTTGTCCTCAGACCACACGTAGCAAGTCTATAATGCTTTATCTGCTACTTCTAGCTGAGATACTATCGTTATCAATCAGAACACCGATGAGGGCGAGATAAGTATATCAATTGACGCAGAAGTCGATGAAACAACCCAGAGTGAGCGCCGTGATAAAGTTAAAACCCTACCGATTGCAAACGCCACATCGGCATGGGCCGAGACTCTTGAAGAGCATGAGAGCGACGGCAATTAAGTGCCTTTCTACCTAGGTACGCATACAAAGCCCATTGTTCAACCTAATATGCTCTAGTGTTAACAAATTCTAGGTAATAAAAGAGGACCAGCTTTTGTAATAGATAATTGCAAGCCCTAAAGAACAACAGATAGTAATCATTCCTTTATTGCCATGCCTTCTTTAGAGTCCCTGCAACCAGAGGAAATCGAGTATCTCCGATAGAGAGGTTGCTTCACTTTGCCTCCCCAACAACTCTAAGAAGCTCTCATTAAAGCTTATTTTCATCACTGTCATTCCTTCGAACCGGTCCTTGATCCTGAAGAGTTCTTTAATGCTTATAGTAAAGGCTAACTTAGCTTACTACTTCTCTAGTCAGTCTTTATGTGCGCTGTAACTGTAAGTTCTCTGTCACTCAAGGGGAGAGAGTATAATATATACGCTAACTTAGGTTGTCAGTTTGTCAAAGATAGCCTGTTTTTCATGAACCTCTACTAATCTCCTCTTACGTTTAAATGCAATGCCTTTTAGCGGGTAAAGGTACGCTAAAGCTTAATACTCTCCTGATCCCTTGCGGCGATACTTAGTTAGGCTAATATAAGGTATAGACTTTATACGATGCAGACTATAAGAAGAACAAAGTTACATTGATTTAGTCTGTCTTTCTTATAGGTCATTTCTATGTAAACGCAGAAGATCGCCTGGGTCCTTGGCACTGGAACAGTATTGCCACTAGCCTATCTTATACGATCGGTCTTCATATGCTAACATCTCCCTCATGAAACGGCATTTAGCCTCTGTAGCGGCATATCTGGTGGTCTATCTACTACCGTGAGGTTTAGCTGTCAATAGGCCAAGGTCGGCCAATACGGATATCTCTTGATTATTGCTTAACTCCTATACCGGGATTATACAATACAAGTCCTAGCTATTCGCCTGAGTACCAACGCTTCATACCTAAGGACCTCGATATACTTCTTAGGATATGGCTAAAGCTAATAGGAGTAACGCAAGTTATAGGGAGGATATTATCCACTAACTATACTATTAAAAGCGTAAGGCCTTCCAGAGCCACCATTAAAAGAGATAAGAACGAGATTCGAGCCCACTAGGTCCATTGCGAGACCAATGGCCAGAGCCCAGTTCTAGCTTCTCATACATATCAGTACCGACTTCACACTTAGTATAGTCCCCCCCCCCGCTACCCCCGTCATAGACAGTCATTAGTTAAACATTTCGCAGAGCAGCCATTATAGCTCTTTATAGGCCATTTCTTCACGAAACACTAGACGGAGTTCCAGATAATTAGCACGACTCTTAGAAAACACTTGCAAAAAGCAAGCTTCGGGCTGCAGCCGCTCACGCAACCCATGCCATCAATTATATAATGGCAGAAGATCTGATCAGGTTCGCCCAAACAATTGCGTAGGTGCTCAGAGCTATGGGATATGTGAACGCCGCTAATCAACTGTTGATAACTCAGGGTGCTCACTATCAGCCCACCGATTCAAGTCCATTTACTGGAAATGGCGTCATCCAAGTCGTCGTCTGGCAAACTGGCAAAGCATAATTTGGCCCTGTGCTTGCTAGCTCTAGATGAGATGCGAAAGTACTACGTGTCGGCAGATGCAGCGTACAAGTTATTTGATCGCGCGAGGATGATGGTGGAGAAGTCACTTAGAAACGATGATATACATTCACAAGGTTCCGCAGCCGCAACCGACTGCCTGCAAGAGCCTCAAGGGATTGAAACATCAGAATGGCTCGACGACTCTGCGTCTATGAGCTATGAAGTCGCATCTGTGGGGTTGTTTTCTGCTCTGTGGTTACCATTTGCAAATCTCATACCAGATGAGTCTTTGGATGGTTCGTTCTAGGCAAAGTTTGTAATTTAGGTGATTAAAATTATACTTGGTAGTATTAACTTTGTCTTTAACCAAGAACGAACTATTCTTCTTATATATCTTATACAACGAAGTAAAGGAATGTTATATATATGATTGCGGTGAGTCGCGTTGCCACCCTGCGAGGGGCGGCCATAGGAGCATAGCTGCGTGGCAAATACCAAGTAGATGCAAGTTCGGATATCAGGTATTAACGAAGCTCAAGCCTTACGATACCAATGGCACACGTCGCTCAGCGATAGCCACGACCGGTCATGGAGCTATCTGCTGACGGTCGTCTCCGATGCGGGTGACTGCTCCGAGTCCACGAGCAAGGAGTAGGATGAAGGCGCTCATACTGCGAGTAGGATGCGAGAAGGTTTGCCGAAACAGCGACTCATCACGCTATAGGAAGGCCGGCAATGGCGATGCAAACCACACCGCATCCGATAGACGTGGTTCAAGCGACTAATAAGTGGTATTGCCAAAAAGGAAGATTGATCCTGATAGGCCCGGGAAATTGAACAATCCACGTCGCCGGCATCGGTCGAAGTGCCTCCGATGCATTGTGAGCAACCTTCCCCTGATTCTCTGCGCCATTTCCCCGCATTAACAAGGATAATTGGGCTTGTGACAACATTTTGGAAGATTCTGGGGTATAGCCTATAAGGCCCTGCTGTGCTCGGTCGCCGGTCTAACTAAGTGAGGCGCCGATTGACAGTCAGTTTGCCACTCTCGGCTCGACTAGAACCGAACCCAAGCAGTTCCCAATTCAGCATACGGCATCGGGTGCCCGAAGTAGGTGCCAAGTTCATACTACCGCCGTCAATCAGGTATTACTATTGCAGATGAACGGCCTATCTATCGGGTTGTTCATTAAACATCGGTCCGGCGCTAGAGGATTGGCGTCCAGACACCCGATGCTAAGCTCTTCTTCTAAGGGTTTACTCTTGCATATAAGTTTGTCGAAATCTATAATACGATTTGATGTACCGGACAGAAGAAGTCACCACATAAGCAACTTGAAACATCACTTAAAGTTCAGCAAACTCAAATACAACCGAGATAAAAACCATACCATGCCAAGTATTCTGAAGACTGGTGTTCTAGCCGCGTTGGCCGGCGGACTACTGGCCAGTGCCAACACCAGCAATTTTCAAGGGGTCAATTGGGCTGTCCTCGGAGACAACTTCGTGAATGGTCCACTAGTCCTGCGCGGTCTCAACAAGTCAGACGACTATGATACCGTGCGAGCCAAGGCCGACGCCATCTACAGCGGTCTGAAGGAGAACCTGGGCATCAACACTATCCGATTGCCAGTCAATACACTCACAGTCAACTCTACCTGGTGGGACTCCTACACTGGAGTGATTGATTCCGCCACTGGCCACAACCTCAAGGTCATCTTGGGTTACTGGGAAGATGGCGCGGCTTCGGGAGGCAAGATCGTCGACTTGAACGCCTGGAACGCGATGTGGGACGCTGTGGTCAACCAGTACAATAGCAATAACCTCATCTACTTCGAACCCATGAACGAACCGCACGGATATACCGCCGCCCAATGGACCAACGTAGCTGCAGACTGGGTCAACAGACACTCATCGCTGCCCAAGGGGCGAATCCTCATAGGCGGCACGGGTTACTCCCAGAACCTTCAGCCCGTCTGCGACGACAGCCGTTTGGACGGGACCTTGCTGTCCTATCATGTTTACACCTTTTTCAGCGGTGCCAAAGATTACAACGGTTGGGTTCAGGCCTACAAAAACGGCCTCGGCAATTGCGCTTCGCGCGCAGTCACAACCGAGTTCGGCGCACCAATGGACACGGGTCTCAATTATAGCGACCCCAATAGTACGGATAACTTTGTTCGATATATCCGCGCCTTGACTGATTCCATGCGCGAACTCAAGATTGGCTCGACCTATTGGCCGGCAGTTGGTGGCAAGGTCACCGCGGGCCAAACTGATGACTGGTACTCAATCCAGAAATTCCATGGCAGCGGTGTCGACTTGACCCTCACCACGCCGAGCCAAACCGGTGCTGACCGGCTCTTTTATGGTTGGGGTCGAAATATCTAACGAAAGGAAGCAGGCAGTATCATCGAGAGAGCTCAGAAGACCTTCAAGGATGAGAACTGGACGGCATATCTAGGTTAAGAGGCTTAGTAGATTCCAATCTGGATCACCATAACATAGACCATAAGAACGATCGTCCAAACTCATAATATTGTGAAACTCCGCTTCTGCATCTGGCTCAAAGCTTGGTCTTATACCTATCGACCATTTGCTTCGTCCTCATCTTCCGTTCAACGGCCCTTCTGGGGCTGATCCCATCTACATAGCCTACAAAAGGGGCCCCGACCTGATATCCCAGCATGTCGACTAGACGAGGCGGAATCTCGTTCAGCTTCTCCCAATCTACCGCAAGGATCTGATTCTCCAGCGGACGGACCCATGGCTGGCAATACTGGACCGTGAGTGCTCTCCGCTCTTTCTCCGACACATTCTTGCCCCCTCCATGCCACAGCGTACCTAGAAAGTAAACCACGCTTCCTTTTTCCATAATAACAGGCTGCGCTTCCTCTGGTGTCGGGACGTGACTCGAGTCCCACGTATGCGACTTTGGAACAACGACCGTAGCGCCATTTGTTTTCGTGTAAGAATCTAGTGCAACCATAATTGCCTACTTGAGTCAGTCATCAAAAAGCCAAATGGCACAAGGTACATACGGTCCCAAAGGGGCGATGTGGACGTGGTATCGTGATAAAGCCATCATCGTGATGAATCGTTTGAGGCTCTTCTCCCGGTTGAATGTTGATGCTATGAAATGCATTCAGAAGAAAGCCTTGGTCCAGAAAATGCTCATTGAGACCCAGAATATCAGGATGGAGTGCGAATTTGTCAAACACTCTGGACTTATTGAGTAGAGCGTAGATACGGTTCGTTCTCAGCCCTTCGAACCTGTTGCGACCTCCCGACACGGCCGGGCCGGCCTCCGGGCTAGACGCAAGACGTCGTAGCTCTGTGTTCGCTTCATCGACTTCGGCGTCGGTAAAAGCGTTGGGGATTATAACGTAACCATTTGAGACTGTTTCATCGATCAGCTTCTGTAAATGGCGAGTGACTGGTGCCTTTTCGCCGAGTCGTTTGGCTGCGCCGGTCTCCCGGTTGATGATAATGGAGTTAGGGGCCTCAGGCTTTCTCTCCATGACTTGGTTGTAAATTTGGGTGACCATAAATTTTTGATGTCTCAAGAAGGACTGGCCCTTGATTTTATCCTTTTCTGGGGATCTCTCGTCTGCCACACGCGTCAGTAGCTGCGGGGATAATGTGGGGAGCCGAGGAACCAAGTTCTCCTCCCGATTTAAGTTCTCAACCATAAGCCTCAACTGTGAATAACACTGAGGGACTACGCCATACAGGTCCGGCAGTTGAGACTGCTTCCCAGCGGCCACGTCATTACGGTAATGATGGGGAGGGGATATCTCCTTATGCGGATAGATCAAAGTCCGAGATCCATATAAAACCCACGTCGCTGATTGTTGCTCGCATTGTTAAACCTATGTGACAATATGTCAAGGCCGAGGCAGTAAGTGGGGCGGGTCAATAAAGGTATTTGAACCATTTAAATAAAAGCACGATAACCTGCTGCTGAACCAAAGTAAGCTTAGTTACTGATATATATAAGGAGAGTGAGAAAAATGAACTAGGTTATTTCCGCTAATGGAAATCGTTAATGATCTCCCCGACGCTCCACGAAGCTAAGTTTTGTTTATGTAGATAATTGGTAATTCATCTCCCTGCTGTCGTCGGGGACTTACTGTCCTTTTGATTTGAGACGTATTATATGCAGGCCAACGACTACTAGAGACTTAAAACCGGTGCCCTTTATGTCTCTCTATTAATCGATTCCCTCGCCTCTACCCTGCCTGCGCTCAATAGTCCTAGCGCTATTCTTCACTACGAGACATTCGGCTCGGACGGTACGCCGACGGTCGGGACAATATCCGCCAAACCTCTGTCCAATTTCTCGTTGCACACTTCAGTGTCGCATGCTAAGACCGCTGAGGATACTCACAAAGCTTTCTCGATGGCAAACAAGAGTTTCAACAGCGCCTGCAAACTGACGCTGACAATGCATAACGACTGACCTTGCCGCTTTGTGGCAACGGGACCGCTGTCGTGTTTGGAACCTCTTCCAGCACTATCCCTACCCTAGGCTGCTGGCTATTCATCCTGAGTAATGCATGTGACAAAACTCATTACATATGATCCTTGGCCTTCTCTGTTCTTTTATAGAAGTCTCAGTTGCAGGCGCATGGACTTATTAACCACATCTACGACACATCTCAAGCTCATTCGATATAGCAATGGAGGCCTTCATAGCAATTCTGTCCATAGGCCCTTAGATAAACTTGATGAGATCTTGCATAAATAGAAAACAAGGTGACGACATCTGTGAGAGTTCCCTCTCTTAGTATGTAGCATTGGTCAATACCTATTTATAGAACATTTTACTGGAGATTGAAGTACTCGAAAGGAAAAGTTTCAATTATAAAGACTCAAGCCAATGATCTAAGTTACATACTGAAGACGCCAGAAGGACCGGCTATTACAGGGGAAAACCTTCGGGCAAAAAAACCCCTATCTTAGAAGATCAAAGCTCAGTTCGCAGCTACAGAAGCTTCCTTCTAGTTATAGCAGCCGGAACCTCCTTGTTTGGCGTAAATCTTAGGCTGAGTTGTGTCGATAGCACCATTCACAACAGGGTACCATCCTTGCTTAGCCAAGAACTTGCAGTTGTTGTAGAAGCGGTCGCCATCGAGCCTAACGTGAGGGTTGGCAATGCACTGTGATATTGGAATCAGTCTAAGATGCTTTGAAGGGTCGTGATATGGTACTTACTCGGCCGGCGCCGTTATCGTATTCAGCCTGTTAAACGGAATCAGTATAACATCAGGTTAGGAAGGGCAGTAGAGCTTACGGTCTTTTCGTAGTTGTCGTTACAGACATTGAATGTAAGCTGCCAATCATACTTCCAGCCGTTGCCATTGTTGATCTGGCAGTCACAGGCCTTGTGGTCGCTGGCCAAGGCGGGCAGGATGAATGGAAGAAGGGTGATGGCGAAACGCATGGTGAAGGCTTTGAGTGGGAGGACTGAAAGTAGTCTTGAGTGGTAAAGAGTGCGGTAGAATGAAGAGATGGAGGTGAGGTGATGTCTTGAGTGAACCGAGTTGGTTTGGATGAGAAAGGGCGAAGCAGAAGGATATATTTATACATAGACATTCTCTGCGGAAGCACACTGAGATCACTGTTCGTAAACATCTTTGCTGTGATACTATCGGGAGTTGTTGAAGCGGTAAGCGAAATGGGTCGTTCTCGTGATGATGGATCCAGGAGTTCCATCGGAGTCGTTTCAAAAAGAACTGCCGGCTTTCTCTCGCCTCAAAACTAAACTTCAATCTTCAAAGCAAAGTCTCAGATAGCACCAAGTGGGACAAGAAAAGTTTGCTGGTCATGTAAGGAGACCGTATCGGGACAGCTTGCAGCCAGTCTTGTGCTCTATGTCTTGCTGCAACACCTCTACAACCACTCTCTGCGGCTTGTCATCAAGATGAGTCTTTTCTGATATCTACATGCTTTCTAATAGTAGTCAGTGCCATTTGATTCCTGAGTCAAGCAACACTGGGTATGCTCTATGGCTACGAAGGAGTACTGCATTCCGCGCAAATATGCTCTGTCAAGTCTTGATCAATACTTGACCGCCAATTACCGCCAAACCTCCCAGCAACCGAATGAACAAAAGAAGCTCTCAGTCATCTTAACCGCCGTGGTTCCATATATCAGAGTTTCTGTGGATCGATATACGTGCACATAGATTGAGCCGAGACCATGAATGACTACGTTCAGGCGAGGCTTGATGCCTATTGTAGCAGGTCGTTATTGTTTCCTTGCCTCTTTTAATCTGTCGGCAGATGTGTATTGTCATTGTGTATTTTGACTTTTTATATGGAGCTCGAGGTTTGACTTCTACGGGGCTGAAGGTGGAGAATTCACTCAATGTCTCTCGGTTAAAGGATTATTCTAAGTGGTTTTAATTTATCCGTTCATCCTCATGCAGATCCTTCATCCTCCTCGGCAACAGTCTGCCGATTTTAGTTACGTATAGTTATCCATAATAGAAAGCTTGTTTCTGTTCTGGAACATGTGACAGACAGTGAAATGTCTTCAAGTCGAGCTGCATTTGTGCTTTTAAAGGCTGGTCTCTCGTACAATCAGTATATTGACTCCAACTACCCTCTTACACTCAATCTTTCATTCTCTGCAACGACATCAAAATGAAGCCTGCTCTTATTGGCCTTGGCAGTATGGTTCTGCTGGCTTCGGCCGCTCCGATTTCTTCTGGCTCGCCCTCATCTCTGGCCCCAGCCAACGATGGACTGACTCTGGAAAAGAGAGCTGAGCTCGACCCCATCAGGTATGTTGGAAGCTACCACGCTATCGACCTGAAGTCTCTGACATCTTAATGTAACTAGACTCGAAACCCTGCCAGGCAGTGCGCTTGAGAAGCGAGCCAACAGGAGGATGAACATACCTAACCACGTCGGCACTGCGATACAGAATATTGGCGCCGTTATCGTCAAAGCCATTGTTGATGCCGCCGGCGACCTTATCTTCCAAATCACCAATAATGGTGGAGGCCCAGCGAAGGTGTCACTTCGCGAGATAAACATGGGGTTGGACGCTGCAAATTTGAACATTGCTGCTCATCATACTATCGAATATGATCCACTTGGCGCAATCAACCCAGGCGATGCGATTTCAATCAACTTTCAGACCTAGATCGCAAAGGATAGAGCTTAAGGTTGGGTTTATAGTGGTTTTTTTGCTGCGTTATAGTTTTTCCACTCTGATCAAGTGCCCTTCTTAACTTAGCTATAAAGTTATCATACAAGAACTAACTTCATAATACTTATATATCTTTAAAGTACCTACTACTGGCCTTGTACTTTTACTCTTGCTTTTCTGAGCTATACTGAGTACTATAACATCTGCCGAGTATGCATGATATACAAGTAACAAGCCCACAATGACTTGGATAAATTAAACTCTGATTGATGACTTTCAACCTTGCATCTGATAGTCATGTTATCTGCCGACGATTTCTCAGTAATGAGCAAGGAGGTTGTACACAACAGTGTCAAGCGAGGTATTCGTATTACCAGGGTTTAAAGTTCAATATATAGGTTCGGGCCGAGAACTTTTAACCCTTCTGCCATTGGCTGTAACAAATGGGGACTTCAAAAGCTTATAATATTAGTAAAACTTAACATACTTCCGTGATTATAAAAGTGCGAACCCAGTATCCCAAGTCCTATTTCAGGTACCATTCATCTCTGACAGTCATTGCCAATTAATAGGTCCAATTCCTCTTGGTTGCAAACTTCCAACATGAAATTCTTCACCCTTCTCGGTTTTGTCTCCTTGACTCTGGCGCTCGCCACCAAGCCAATTGAACGCGATGTCAAGGAAGAGATGAAACATCCTTCTTTTGGAGATGTTAAATACACTAAGATTGATGGTACAGACGTTGGTTCTATCAAGTACGTAGCAGAATTCTCTCACTCCTTATGAAACTAACAAGTCATAGAGTTACCAGGTCAGATGTCCAGGAACGAGGTGTCGTCAGCCTGGAGAAACGTCTTGATGGCATTCATGTTCCCTACGGCGTTGCGGATCCTCAACCCATGCTCATGGCTGGAGTCACTATCTCATTCATCATGGTCGCACAGTGGGTGAGACAAGGAGGTCATAATGTTTACACCTACGTCTGTAATGGCCTCAAATTCTCGAACCCTACTTCCCGGAACAAGGTCGTCTCTGTGGTAGCTAATGGAGTTGCTGTTCTGAGGAATCAGCCAGTCCCGGCTCGTTTGGCCGCCCAGATTGGTGCGCCAGAGGAAGGGTATGGTAGTGAAATTTCCATCATAGTCGGAAACTCCCAGTAAGCTCGACTTGGAGGGAGACAGGAGACGGTACTTTGGAGAACAGCTTTAGAGCGAATCATGTTACTTTCTACCCAGGGGGATGCTGGGTAACCAGATGTGTATCCCCCTATCCTTTATAGTTGTGGCGGTGTTTGAAAAATGTTAACAAGTAGCGAACCTGCTTGATGAATATTGATGGGTTGTCTGTGTTGGGGCTGTATGTGACTTGTAAACCATTTCCAATAAGTTGTCTTCATACATGCTACTATGACAAAAGCCAGGCAGGTCGACGAGGTTGGAGTCTGGGTATCGCCAGGTCTGGCACCAGCCTTGAGATATGCTACCTGTCATCTGAATACATTGACAACGGCAGCCCGCTCAAATTACGGGCCGATGCGTTATATGACACAAGGAACGTCCCCTCGAGTTGTCGCAAGTAATTGTTCAAGATCGTCTGGAAAATCTAAAATGTCATTCGTTTGCCAAGAAGTTAAGCATAACGCATTAACTGGTGTGATGAACGTGACTGCAGCAGTGGTTTATAGTGATTGTGGTACTCGAGATGCCCTTCATGTCACTTGGCACATGCGATAAGTTGGCAACGTACCGATCCGAGTGTAATTGAGTAACTTGAGTAGATTCCTATCACAGCTTGCCGAACCTCTACCCCTGCCCTGGAGGTATTGCTTTGCTATTGGAATATCGCATGTACTTAAACCCATTCATGGATACTATGCGGCTGATCATTGACCCGTCTGTGATTTCGGAAAAATCAGAAATAAGAATTCCCACCCGCGGCCACCAATCAGCAGAGGTTGTTGAGCTATTCCGTTGCTTTAGCCATGCGGTTACAGTGGGATTGATAGACCGTGCTATCCTCAGGGAATCGTTAGTCGTAGAGGGCCCGTAGCCTACTAATACGTTATAGTTCATCCAGTTGAGATACCAGGTGTTGGCCATCCGGGGAGGATATCTTGTTGCATCTCCATTGGGACTAACACTTCCGGTCTCGGCGGTCTTCTCTAGCATCGTGACGACCAGAGCACTTTTCCCATTAATGTCGGTTTCAACCTCAGTGGCTGAGCCATTGCTTATCGCATGATCCTGGACTGTAAATGGAATGCCAGAGTCTGTTGTAAATGAGACTATTTGTTTCTTAGTAGTGTCTGGGTAGGAGGTTCCGAGGCTGATGCCGGCCGATATGCTCGTTTGAGAGTTGAGTTCCTGATCTATAGTATGCATAAGAAGAATCTTATTTCGCAGTTGGCCCATAGTTATAGTCGGTGCCGAGGATGTAGGAGTAAAGTAACTCAGGTATGGAGAAATGGCTGTGTTGAGTGCGCCGATTATGGCGGTGGGGTTTTGCTGCGGATCTAATGGAGAGAAAAACAAGATGATGCCTTCGCTGGAATGGCCATCGAGCCATTTGGAAAGAGACGCTATCAGCGTTGAAATCTCAACGTTGATCAACACGTTTCTCGGAGTGTAGAGTGATATAGTCTGTGAGCCTGAGTCTCCAGATATACCGATGATGAAGTGCAAGAAGCGGATGCCCGCGTTGAGCTGCTGGGTTATGTTCATGTTTTGCCGGCGTTCAACTGAGTTTTTGGATGTGAACAAAGTGAGGTCCGAGCTAGTGGCTGAGGCATGAGTACCCGGTATGCTCAATTCGGAAACAAGAAGGGAATCGTCAATAGCCTTCATCCAGCACGTCAGGTCAAAACATCCACCCGGCCGTTGCATCGAAAATCGAATTGCTTCGAGACTTGGCCAAGCAACAATCAAGTCGCCGTACAGGTAGGTCATCGACAATGGGACTTCGAAAGTGTAGCTTGGGTCGACCTGGAAGATAAACTGTTGGGACCAGTCTTCCGATCCCCTAGCGACCGAGTACCTGAACATTGCCACTTTGTTCGCATCATTGTCGGGCTGTAGATTGGCCCAAACCAGCATGCCATCTGGCGAGGCGGCCGCGCCGATACCGGATTCAGCCGAGTCGAAACCAGTGTTAAATGATCCTGTTCCCTCAGGCATAGAGATGGGGGAAGGATACCATGCCATAGCTACCATGTCCAGAGTCAACTCGCGGGGCCCGAGAGACTCGAGGTCAAAGTACATGAACCTGATGCTACCGTCCGGATTACTATCAAGGTCTTCTTTCCTGATATACATGCTGATGCACCCGCTGCTCAAGCCATTGATTTTCGTACTGGTGCTCCAGTTCGTAGGATTCTTGATATCCTTAGTCGACATGGTGATGCAGTTCAGGGTGCTTACATTTGTATCAGCACCTTGTATGGTCTGCACCAGGACAACTACATCGTGATACACGACGCCTGTAATGTTGCCGCTTCCCGAAGCCGTATTGTAGTCGCACAGATGTGTCCATCCGTTGTCGCTAGAGGGGTCTAACGAGTAGACTGATAGCTTATCTTCTGTATTTTGTGTAATAGAGGGAACAAAGGCATAGAGCGACTCATCCAAGCTAATAAGCGCAGGCTGCGAATTTGTGAGAAGGTTTGTCGTGATCGGAGTACATGCTTTCCATAGCAAGTCACTCCCGAGGGAATACGTCAGACAGGTATTGCAGAAAGGAAGTGTATAAACCATGTATAGCGTGCCACAAGCAGTGGCGAAAGCGGGCATATAAGTGTAGCCCATAGGGTTTGTAGCATCAATCACCTGGGGGGGCCAGCTCCAAAAAGGAGCTATAGTGTTCGACATGGTAATTAGTTATAAAGATGGAATTTTATAATGTTGAACAGAGGCTTAAGGACATATAATATAAAAAATGATTTAGTAAAAGGGAGAGCCTTTTATATTTTATCAATCTCTGTAACCAGGACAGATGTGGCGGTGTGTTGTCTTACACTTTTGGCCAGCTGCATTAGTTAGTGAGCTACTGATATGCACTACTGATATGCACACAGTGTGTTTAAACGCAAGGGATGACAATTTGTTCCATTTGCGAGGTATCTTGTTTAAGTGAGATAATTATTCGGGATTGCGTGCACGGCCCGCCTAGAAAATATTTTTATCACAAGTCGCCCATAGCTTCGAACAACACCTCCAATAACTGAAAGTCCTTCCTCTTATACCAAGGGATTATTTATTTAATGCTCTAGGCTATAGACTTCCCCATAATCCTTGAACCTCAGACAGGAGCGCTGCCCTCTTAGCCACGTTGGCTGGCTCAGTGTCTAAGGTAGAAACATTATCCGGCACTGACAGCGCTTGGATTGCTAGAGGCTGCTTTGATGATATGATATTATCAGCGCTATATGCCGTGTATGTAATTGGCAGGCCTTTGCCATCGTAGGGTTGCTGTGCAACATGGATTGAATATCCTGTAGTATGGGAAATGGGAGGCGCATTGGCGGATGATGCTAAGTCTGGTGTGTCTGTAAAATGTATTAGCGACGTAGCGCTAAGAATAGCAGTCGGGAAACTTGCAAACACCCCAAAGCGTTGGAGGCACCTTTGTCGTGATTGGAACAGATAGAAGCTTGACGTTTTCGGAACCCGCAGCATTTCCCGTTAGCTGCACGGCCAGATGTGACAGCTCGAACGAAGTTGTCAATTGCATTGGTGCCGCATACAAGTCAACCAATGTTGAGCCGCTGTCGTCTGCTACATCTGTGCCATTTGTGCTGCACGACTTGCTTTTTGGCGCATTGAAAGTCGCGCTGAGAATAGGAACCCTTGTCTTGATAATGATGTTTAGCTGCGCACCACGGACCTGCACCTTCGAGCTTGTGGATTCGTTAGTCGTGGTAGTTGTTATTGCAGTAGAGCTGATCGGTGAGGATGTCGAGACAGTACCAGCGTTGATAGAAAACAGGTAGTCATCTGAACCTCCATCGCTGCTGCTGCTGCTCTGGTTCCTGACCAATTCCAGGAATGAATCAATATCAAGCTTAGCAGGGGCGGCACCAGAGCTTGTAGACCCGAAAGAGATTGTATGGGACATGGACCAGAAGTGCAATGTAGCAGTGCCCGAGACTGAAGGGCCCCAGAGATGTAAGTCAGCCCCGAATGACAAAGGACCCAGATTAATCGCAAGGATGCTCCACCCCAAATGAACCTCGACGGAAAAGTTGAAACCAACATGGACGTCAAACCAAAATGGATGTAGTTGGACAAAAAAATCAGCCCAGGCTGTGAAAGATGCCTTTAACCAACCGCAGTCAAATCGAGCATCGAGACATGCCCCGCCCATCAGACAGGCTGGAGTCACCGCAAAGTAGGCCTGGCCAAGAATACTGAGATCAGAGTCATATGCCCAAGATATTCCAAGGCGTGGTGGCGCTGCAGGGTAATATGACGGAGGCTTGTATGTGGGGTTGAAGCCGCCGATTGATACAACAAAGTCACCTTCATACTGGCTCGGAGAGACCCAAGTTGCATAAACCATCCCACCAGTCAAATGGCAGTCTTTGCTGAGAACATATGACAGGGGTGTCAGTTCGGCTTGAGCAATCAAGTAACCTTGAGCGGAGTCAAATGTCATGGTTGCCCCAACATCAATCAGAATAAATGCATTTTCTTCACCTCCTGTGCTTGGAAAATAAGTTGTAGCCTCGGCCGTGATGTTGATGATGCAATCATCAGAGTCGGTCATCTCAACACTGAGCACGGCATCAATATCCAACACCTTGAAGGCCAACACGGTCAGGCCAACCGCCAACCAGTAAGAACCCTGCTGCGGGAGAATGTAAGCAGTACCCGAGCTTGGCTGCATCAATGATTTGAGCTCAGTTGCTAGGTCGCTTTGGGGTGTCAGGTCAGCATGGTTGAGGGCAATGAAAGGCCACTGTTGGATATCTCCCGCATCAGGCGGAACCAACTGCGTGTTGTACCCAAGGCCTGCAGACAACCCATTGATCTCGGCCCATCCTAGTTCTGCGATCAATCCTTGAATATGAACAAACGCGAACATATCATCAAACGTTTTGTTTTCTTCGTACATGCCAACAGCCAAAGCTCCCCATGTCTCAAAACTGGCCTTGAGACCACCGACGTAGCGAGTGCTATTCTTGTCGACTTCCTTGGCGAACAAACCCTCAATTTCAAGGCTCGGTGATTTTTCAATTGCGAGAGCAAGACCACTAAGAGTTGGTGTGAATCGAAGCTGCGAGAAATTGGAGAAGGATTTAATGCTCGTCAAGTCCAAACTTAAACCAAGGTCTATAAGGGTAAAGTCAAGAGGACCGATACGTAGCGTTGCTGTGAATACCAAAGAGATAGATGTGAAATCACTACTCATTTGCAACGCCACGCTACTGATAGAGAGGGGCCCAGCCTGCTTGCTCATTGGAGCCACAGTTGAAGATGGCGATGTACTGTTGCTTGGATTCCCTTTTTTTAAAGAAGGTGCTGGAGAAATGGATCTCGAGGGTGCTTTCGATGACGTTGGCGACGAAGGCGTAATCTTTGGGCTTTTGGTTTGTGCCTCTCCTACGACGTGATCTAAGAGCAGACTTTGCTTCCCTTGTATGGTTGCAGCAAGCTGTAGATGGCAACCCTTCGCCAGCGCAATCACGTCACCAGGCTTGATGTTGCTGTCTTCAGGGGAGAACTGGTTGAAGAGAAGTGGCAGATCTGAGCTAAAGGCATTTTGTGCGAGCGCCGTGGCCTCATACATCGTTATGTCTCTGTTCGTCCAGAGCACCGCAACTTCGTCAACTGGTGGTGCAAGAGTACCGACGACTGGGACATCGCTAACGTCAGGTATTTGGGGAAGTGAAAACCGTAGAATCTTGGCTGGAGGCGCTTTGGTAGTCTTACTGGGTTGAGAGCCAGAGTCACTCGTATCCTCGTTGCTTTTGCCCTTCGGGTCGGATGTGTTGCTGGGCTCTGATCCAGGCGTTGCGTCTGCTGCATGAAGTGGTCGTATCTGAGCAAATTTAACGTCCATGTTTCCGATTTTGAGGTCGAGTGAGAAGAGTACAGCCTTTCCCATCTCCTTTGAGCCGTCAATGCTCTCGCAGAGGAGATTAATGCTGATGTCGCTCAGGGGAATAGTGAGATTGCTAATGAAGTCAGGCAATGCCTCGTTCTCTCCAAGTAGATCGGACAAAAGCTCCCCTAAAGTAGACGTTTCTGTCGTTGCCGTAGGGTTATACTTGCTAATACCGGCAGCAAATGTCCATACACTTCCATTCGAATGTTGGTACTTAAGGCTTAATAGTACTGGCCCCAGCAAGAACTCTGCCAACATGGTTAGCTGGCTGGGCTGAGCCTTTTCATAGATGTACGTCAGAGTCGTATCGAGAATGTTGATTCCCGAGAAGACGTCCGCAATGGCGCTGCGCGAGTCAGCAGCAAAGAGGGAGTACAAGTTGGCGAGTGAAACATTGTACGCGGATGCCGAGACGCTCCAGGTACCATCGCCGCTGCTGTAAGCGAGATCAACACCAAGGCTGGACCAATTGTTTTCGTCAAATTCATCTCCCGGGCCTTGAAGGGATACTCCTCCGGACAGGGCTAGCGACTTTGAAGCTGAACCAATCTCCAGAACGATGTCCAGTATATTGAATGATAGCGCAGGAACATCAGTTGTGTTTGTTCCAGGCTGAGCCTCGATACAAACGACCGAACCAGCCAAAGTCAAATTGGTTGATGTAGTGGACTTTTGAAGCGTAATCTCGGCCTCTGTAATTACGTCTGGTACACCAGCTGGGTAGCTGGATGGTAGAATATCTAGCAAGGATGAGATTGATATTGTCGAGTTCGTGGGCGGCAAAGCATTCAATGAGGGCTGATCTACCCACTCGGCTGTAGGATCCAATTGAAAAGGTAGTGAATTGGGGCTGCTCAGAGGAAGAGCTCCTGACAATAAGTACGAGCCAGGTGACCACTCAAGTTCGAACAAGATAGGAATCGTGCTTGGAGGCGTGACAGTAACAGAGGGGCTGGCGGTAACTGTCTCTGTTACTGGAGTAGCAGGTGTAGAGAGCTTTTTGGGTGTTTCAACGGTCCCGGATGTAGCAGGCGCTTTGATGTTGAGGCTGACCTGAAAGTCGACGCAGCACTTTGCCAGCGACAGTCCTTTTCCACTTGCAGACTTGACAACAAACCGAACGGCCACAATCTTGAAATCGTGACAGAATTCTTGCAAAATCCCCTGAACTGTGCTAGAAATGTCTGAACTAGATGGCGCAGCAGTTTTAGAAGTGGATGTGTCGGGTGTATCGATGATGCTCTCTATCCAAGTGAAGATAGTGTCAATATCGAAGCCAGTAGTGCGGACTTGCAGCTCCACGGAGGCCTTGGAAAACACGATAGAGGAGGGAAATGGCGTTTCTGTTCCATTGATAGTGGTTTGAATAGTTGAGTCGATACCGACAACGCTCTGTTTCGACGTCATCGTTTTACCGGGCAGTATGGACATTCTTGGAGTCTGATTGTTTGTGCTGCCCCATAAAACTACATCTGTTACTGAGAAGCCAGCTTTAGGGAGTAGGCTATTCAGTGTTGACTGAATTGTCGAATGTGAAGCTAGGATCATCTCGAGGCGAAAATACATCTTAATTCTCGAGTCCGGGATCATCCAAATTCCTGATCTTGAAGGCCTATCCGACGTCGAGGTCCTGAGCGTAAGTTGCTCCTGATTTAGGAATGCCCCGACGAAGGCGTTTGAAGAAAATCCAAATAGTGATAGAAAGGCGTTCAAGTCCGTAGTACCTGTTGTAAGAGTCTCATCAACGGCAAACACAAAGCCTCCGCCGGTCCCAAGATTCTTATAGAATCCGGAGCCAGTTGAAGGTAAAGTCGCCAGACCGTTGAATTGCGCCTGGTATGCCTCGGTCCCAGTGTTGATGAACAAGGCGAAGGCATCGCTACCAGACGATGATGGAGCAATAGAAGCCTTTATTGCCAGCAAATCCAATGAGATAACTTTGCTTGTCGTCGCGTCAAATTGCCCAGTGAAGTTCGCAGTCACAGTAAAGCCAAAGCTAGTTTGCAGCCATGAGCAAAGCTGGCCCTGTGTACTACTAAGCGCAACGGCGTTTAGAGATCCATCGCTAGCCTTTTGTATGGCCAAATCCGCCCCAAGAAATGAATACAGCCATTTTTCAGCCTTGGAAAGAGTCGGTGTAGGTGGCATTGCTGCTAGGAAATTAGTGAATTCCATGAATCCGACTTCTGGCTGATCGTCAGACTCAATTTCCATCCCTCCGCCTGCTGGAGCATCATCAAAAGGGATTATAGCCATCGTTATGTTCCCTCGTCTGATCTCTTCCTCGGGGAAAACTCCTTGCTCAGTCGCCTCAATGCATAGGCATCCCCCAGAACGCCCCCAACCGACTTCGTCCCAGATATTCCGAAGTTGATTAACGACAAAGGCCATAACCTCTTGTAAAAGTCTCTTGGCTACCCCTTCTTTCGACATGACATTCCATTTTGCCTCTAAAGCTGGAACTGAATGTGGAAACGGACAGTCAACCATAAGGGTATTTCTCCCATACGTTTCCAAATATTCATTCTCAAGATAATTAACGTTACCTTCTGTCAGGCCATTATTCAGACACCAAAAGTCCTTGACATTTGTCAAGAAATCCTCATTGCCAAACCATTCTGCGAAAAGATCATCACCCGAGATCGTGAAGACATCGCGGCGTAGCTCCTGAGACCCTGGACTAAAGCTCAGTAGTTTCAAAAGATTGAGCCGCGGGACATTCCATCTAAGCCAATAGGGATCACTCGAGGCTAGGATGCGAGGTCCCAGCAGTCCTTGCGAGTTCAAGTAGGAAGCATATGCCATGACCAGTGCCAATGTAGATGCTGTTGGATGGCCATAGGCACGCCCAGCTGAGATATACATATACTGAACTTTGAATGCCCCAATCCCTACTGGCGTAGATGTGCTTGCTCCATGATGGCTTAGCTTTGCCACGTCAATGGGAGGATATCCGTAGACTCCAAGGTGAAGCCAGGTAAATAGATCGGTTTCCTGTTTTTTCGAAGAGTCACCTGCAGAATATAGAGATATTCGTGGCTCGTTGTTGACCAACGGCCAAATCGCTATGAGTGCGATAGAAGAGTCGTTGCGGTTAGCAGGGTTTGGCTGTGGTTGGCCCTGCTGCCCAAGTGCATCATTGCCCAAAATGAGGCCATCCACTGCAAAACACAGCAAAATAGGGGTTGAGTTTGTATCTAAAATACACGTATGAGAGTTATAGACGTCTGCAAGGGATTTTGTCGTAGCAGGTGCAGTCTGCAATGATCCCGAAAAGAGGTCGAAGCCAAGACACTGGGTACCCAACTTGACGTAGCAGATCTCTATTGACGTTTGACCTTCCACGCGATAAAGAACTTGGTTCCCATGTAAGTCAAAGCCGAGCTTAAATCCAAGTGATGTAAGTTTCTCCTCGCATCCTAAGGACGGCATGTACATCACGACGTTGTCAGCGCAGTAGAGTTGTAGTGATTCTCGGAGGAGGAGTTCCATAATTCCGCCGTAGTGATCGTCATCCCAGTGTGTAATCACGATGGAAGTAATAAGCAAAGAATTGTGATACTGAGCTCGGGCGAATTGAATCCATTTGAGGACGCTGTCGGCGTAGATCGCCCTTCCACCGTCGACCAGGACCGCTGCTTGAGAGGTGAATTGGTTGCCATTGATGTGACGAAGGACGTGAAGAGCTGAGTCGCCATTTTGGACATCTATAAAATAAGAATCAACCGCGTAGTTAGCCATCTTGTTGGTTACAAGATATAGAGGGTATCATGGATTTTTAATTTGACTAGTGAATACGCTTGGGATAGAGTAATATTCGCGAAGGTTGGTCCAGCTCCCTGTTCATTCAAACTCTCTACAGGCCATTCTGGGGCAGGATGAGGTGCTAAGAGGGCCAAAAGAGCGGTGACAATGACCGCGTATTGCAACAAATGAGCAGAGGGAATGAAACGCAGGCTCAGCGCCACGCGCAATTTCTCATGCATCTAGACCCCACACTATCGATGCAGTAAGACAATAGTAGCACCAACTATTGTCAATAGTTGGTGATCGCACAGTATCGATACTGAAGACATTGGACATGCCCAAGGAGTTTAGACTTTATTATGCAGGGAAAGGAAAAGATGTGAAAAGAGAGGTGGTCAAAATTATGGAACCCGATCCAACAACTGCATACCAGAACCCTCTCATCTCTGCTTCTGTTGCACTACGATATACCCATCTACGACTGCACTCTTCCCCGAAGCATCCACATCTAATAGTGATCTCATGCCTTGGACCGCAATTTTCTCCCCAGCAGTGCTTTGACTGTCATTTGACCACCACCACGCGGCCTCGCCGGCAGGGACCATACTCGCAAGTGGCATTTGAATAGAGCTTGATTCATTGCATGGTACCTCAGGTACCAAGATGGGGCCGCAGGTAAAGAAAGCTTCCATGTTGCCTAGTGCTTCTGTTACCGCCCATCCGGGAAGCGACACCGGTTGAACAGGAAATAGATCGCCTGAATACACGTGCCACGGGAGGATCGGATCAACAACACAGCTGATTCGCACTCTTTGTGTGGAATGAGCAGCCATAATATTGTCTGTATCGCCTGGGATGAAGTACGGCGTGAGGGATATGGCTGCCTGAGCATTCTGTGCACTCTCAGAGTCCGAATCCGCACCTAACTCGGCAGCCGTGCTACTGAAAGCTGTGATGGATCCAGTGGACGGAAATGTTGCCACTAGGCCGTCAAATGCAGCAAGAGAGTTTCCTAGTGCAACTTGAAATGTGTAATCCGTAACTGCAGGCTCCTGTTGAGCTGTAGACTCTGTCAACAGTGATGTATCTGTCAAGGCCGGAGTGGATAGCTCAATTGAGAGGCCAACATCAGCAAGACAAAATGGACGTCCAAAAGCAGCGGGAAGCAGATTTGCAAAGTCCCCTGCAGTCGAGAGCAGTGAATCGGTTGCGTCTGCCATCATGGTGTAGATAGACAGTGCTAGATCAGCGTCGGTGGAGAGAGCTTTGACGAGATCTGCCAGTCGGCCTTGGGGTGTGTTCGTCTTGATGGCATCCGGTATGGTGAATGTCGAGTCTTGAATACGGACTTCTGCAACAAACCCGCCGGTACCATCAAAGATCTGTATGCATTCGTCGATGTAGTTGGGCACAAGCCAACCCCAGACAGGGTTATCCCACTCGCTGGCGACTGTAGCTGTAGGAGCCCCCGGTATCATATAGCTGGCATTTAACCGTGAAGGCTGATTAATACCCGGCGGGAGCTGAAAATAAGGACAACCATTATTTTTTGTATCAACAGATGTTACTGTGTTTGCAGACCCATCTGTGGTGACATCGCAAGTGAGCATTGGCGATAGACAAGGGTACAACTCAGTCGGCCAGGGATTTACAGCTGGGTAAGTCGTTGGACCACCTTCGGGCTTCACAGCAACCACCATTTGCCCGAATTTGTCGACCAGTGTTAACCGTGTGAAACGGGCCTGGCCATGAACAACAGGTTTGAAGGGACTAAAAGCGCTGGTATAGTCAGGGTGCAGGTTCGTTCCGCTTCCATAAGGTGCCATCCCATGAAGAACATTGACCTGACTCAGGTCATCGGCGGAAATACCCAAAGTGGCGAGGAGCTCCTTGCTTGGGGAGCTTGGTGCAGGATAGTGTCCTCGCCGTAGCGTGAGCAAATGATCGGTAAATCCGCCTATAGGAGTTGACAAATACTCTAACTGTCCAGCAGACTGCAGAATGGAGCTGCGATCCGCCTCTTTAACTGATCCTGGCGGTTGCAAGTCCAAAAACTGACGAACACTTGCTTGGAGAGTGAGACCAGCTTGAGGGAGAATAGCTGCTCGGCCACTAATTCGGCGTCGGTCCGCACTTGCTGTTGGATCTTTGGCCAAAATATTGTTCGGGTTGATCTCCCACTGCCAACACCCCGTTGTTGTATCAGGAACGAAACTCCAATTTTGGAACGGAATATGATAGTATTCCAATTCCCACTCCAGAAACAGAGGAAACCAACCCTGCTTGCTATCTGCGTCTTCGAGATATGCATAAGCTGAGGCTGGCCAGGTCTTCTTTGATGAGTCTGGCTGAAGGAAATCGTTGAGCAGTCTTGAAGCTGTATCCGACAGAAATGTGGGAAACTTAGCATCTCCCAAGTCAGTGAGAGTGCTGCCCACTATATCAGAGCTACCATTTTCAGGCAGAACCGGAATATCAGAGGCTAATCGCGCTGCCACTGCTTCGTGAAAGCTATTCGGCCATCCATTTGACGTACCCGCAAACAGTACAGTAGGGTCTTGCCGCCGTCCAAATTGCCTTGCCTGTGTCTGAATGAGACTGTTACCGCCGAGCTTTTTCTCAATTCCGGCTTTGGTAGCCGCAACAGCTTTTGATTGAGTAGCGATGGTGTTATTCAAGACAGCCAGTCGAGCCACTGCTGTTGTGGCGGCACTCTGCACAATGGTGCGGTTCTGAGCATACATAGGACTGGGAAGTAGTGTAAGGGCCACAGCATTCCACCAAGCACCGTATAACTGGCGCAAAGTCTGTTCCTTCTCCTGCACGCAAGCATCAATCGCCATCTGCTGCTCGTTGAGTACTTGCAAGGATGGAAGAAGACTGGCGATAGTAGATAAATCCATGCCTTTCAGTCCATTTTGCTGAGGCTTGTTAGGAAGCTTCCAGACTGAGCCACCCGATGTAACAGAGTTCCAGCCAGACGAAGCTAGGTCCATTGCTTTGTGCACCTGATCGACACTGTCCCCACCACCGTTATAACCAGATACGGTGATCGCAGATAATTGGTCAATGAATTGCATGACTGTCGAGTCAACACCGGATCCTTGTGCATTCAGGAGGCCAGACAATGCATCTAGCGCGTCCAAGCCAATGGCGACGGGTTGGGTGGAAGCAATAGCCTGTTGGAGATCCGATGAAGGAGTGACTAGGTTGTACTCATCACCACCCCATTCAACGTTTCTAAGAACGCCATGACACACGGTCCTTCCTGTATCTGAACTGATGGCTTCGGTTAGAAAGTCAAAGTCTGAAGTCGGTAGTGTCACTCCAAGGGCGCTTAGGATGTCCTCATTTGTTGGGTTGGTACCGCTTGAAAGGGTAGTGCTGAGAACAAGAGGGTCCAAATCCATGTCTGAATGATAGCCAATCACCATATAAGATAGGGTCTGGGATTTGTTGACATCGCTACCTTGCCGGAGATCGTGAAGATCATCCAGAACCGAAAAGACACCAATGTTGGTGGGCTGCTGATCGACGAAGAATTCATCTCCTGGCTGAACTAAAGTCAATGGCTGCGATCTATAAGTGTAACTATTCTGGTCACTTATATATGAACTCAGGAGTGAAAATGAACCGAGAAAGCTGCGATTCTGAGTGATTGGCTTGGTGGGATCAATGGTTGCAGACGAAAGAGCCGCCACGTCGTAGGGTTTCCTAAACGAAGGGTCACTGACATCGCGAAGACAATCGCTCTCAATAATCAGAGCTGCAGCTGGATCTGAGCCATTTGTTCGAATGACAACCCAGCGATTTGGGACAGGTCGAAACTGTTGGTAGATGTAAGTCATAGTACGACCAATGCTAGGTTTCAATGGCTTACTTGGAAATTTGGGTCTCCAGGGCCAGTCGGATTAGGCGCGGCTCCTTTAAAGCCTCTTCGGATCCTCTCGTCCGCATCAAGGGAGTTGTTCTCAGATGGGGTGATGCCAGCTCGGAAAGCCTGCGGCATGCACCAAGAGACATAGACTCCCTCACGCGAACTTATAGGTTGTCCTCCAAGCGTAGAACTCTCACTAGCTGGCGTGGTCACGTCTACGAAACGTGTGTTTACTCGGCAGTCAAACTTGGCCTGATTAGAAGTATCGAGGTGGTCGATCAGGTCGTAGGCAATGGGTGACTGAGCTCCGTCGAGGCGGGCAAGATCTGGCTGAGCTAAGGGAGCCAGGGAGATGTTGGACTTATTGAAAGAACTGACCGAGAAGGCCTCGATGGCCATCGGAATTACAACGACATTAGTAGTCATTATGTTGTCCTTGTCGATGATTCACTGTATTTGATGATTGACTTGAAAAGATGGAGAGCCTGAGTTCAGGACCATGTCGAGACCCAACTTAGAGCTATACAGTCGTGGTTAGCGTCTGCATAACTTTATGCCAGATTGCCTACCTTGATTCCTCCAGACCGCACAGTTGAGCATACTGTGGTTTAGCTGCAGATATGATAAGACTATTGATATGTTCACCGCTGATTTGAGCAAATAAAAACGACCCTGGGACGTGATGTGAGACACAGCTGAGAGACAGGAATTTGCGCTAGACTAGGTACATGCACAGTGCGTGCGATTCCAGGACTGGTGGCTTGGGCAGCATTTATGGATTAGTCTCGACCCTTGGCCCAGCATGCGATCAACGTTGACTTTATGGTCAGCCAGCATAGGCACCATTTACTCATTCTGCACAAGTTTTAACATCCTGAATACTGTATCTCATATTGAATCGTCAATCGGGAAAGGCCATCAAACTCTGACTATGGAACCTGAATCGCTTCAACCCAACCAGGTTCAGCTCTGGTCTTCACACCTGCCCAACTTACAGGCTGGTGACTACACATTCACTGCAACACAAACCATTCAGCCCACTTCGGATTCCAACGACCTGAGAGAACTCTCTAAACTTACGCAAAGCCTTGTCGTGCCGGGACCAAAGTTCAAACTTCTGCATTCATCAGACATTCATAGCGTATATCCAGTTGCTGGGAGTATTGAAACAGGCGCCATATTACCGCATGTGACCCTTAAACACTCTACACTGGCGTGGGAGCGGCAGGTAGTATTTCCTGGTGACTATGCGGCAGACGGCAGCAGCAACGTCCCGTGGCTTGCCGTTCTGTCTTTCACGGAAGATGAGCTCATCCTAAGTGAAGGTGCTGCTACTGCCCTGGGTTTCCCTTCAGGCACAGTACCATCGAGATATGGAGCTGTTGCGACCACGGCAGGCCAACTCAAACTACTCAAAAACAGCATCGCATCGCCTCTTTGGTCTTCCAACTTCGATGATGATTACACGGACACCGATCCAGTGGACGCCCTATGCATACCGCCTACCTTGTTCAGAGAACTTTTCCAACCAGTCACTGGTGGAAAGGCATATAACGATATCGTGCCGTATCAGTTCATGGCACATGTGCGTCATTCTCATAGCAGCAGTGATATAATCAGTATCGTCATTAGTCCTCGCAGTGGACCAACTGAACTCATCAAACCTGCTCGGATGATCTCGCATCTCATCTCTTTGGAGGGAATACCTCGGCTTGAAGTCTCTAGCAGTGCTTCCTCTGTGGCCCTGGTGTCACTACATAGCTGGGACTGGATGTGCACGCCCCCAGCGGGTCCTACTACTCCGAAGGATATTCTCGCCGCCCTTGGTAATACTGTCCAGCCTCTTTGCGTCCCAAAAACAACCTTATCTTCGATTGGTACCTCAACTACCTCTTCTTCCTGGCTGAACAACCGACTTGAAGCCGGGTACACTATAAAACATTATCAAGATGCTAGTGGCAATAAGGCGACTTGCATTCTTCGTGGGCCATTAACACCCGCCCCTGAAACTCCTGATCCATCCTTCGGGAGTTGCAGTTCGGACAACGGCAAGGACCTGTTGAGATTTGATTCTGCGACTGGCTTGCCTGATATCACTATGCAATCCGCTTGGACACTAGGTCGAGCAATGGCTCTTGGCGACAAGTCATTCTTGGCCAGCTTGATGCGACTTCGAGGCAAGATCCGAGCTGAAGCAGTCCGCGCAGCAAAGGCAGCTTCGCGTGATGCAAACGGCGCCGAGAGCTGGACAAGCAAAGGGATATTGGCGAACCTAGCTACTACCCTGGCCAGCATTGCCAAAGCGCACTCTGACACCGCCTACAGTACCGTCACTGGTCCTGTGCGCTGGACCAACCAGCAGGAGAGTTCACAGGTGCAACAGCGGCAGCAAATCGTGGACTTTGCTCATTTTGATCAAGCTACGTATCTCAAGCAGCTCGGGACCGTTGTAGATGCTTTCTTCGCAGCTACTACGCTTGACGCAGACGCCTCAGCCGTTCAGTCATGGATACTGGGGAAGCTCCTCCTTGGAGGCATCCCTCCGTCATATCTGGTCATGACGCCAGATCAGTTTCCCCAAGAGAGCATTCGGACCTTCAGCATTGACTCAACTTGGGTCGCTCTTATGATCGACGGAGCACTTAGTCTAGCAAACCATCATTCTCGTGATGGCGATGACGATGCGATCCGGAAATACATCAAGCATGCAATCAACAATTGGCTTAAACAACCACTTCCCGATGAACAGGCTATTCAACAGCCACCACGATGGGGAGTACTCCTTCGAAGTAGTCTGGTGTCCTCTTTTCCAGACTTGAAGGTCGTAGGGTCCAGCACGGCATACTACGACCCAAGTTCAAGCAAGCCCTTTTTACTAAGGAGGTTAGCCCCAGATATTTTGCTATGCCTCTCCGACTTCCGACCAGGCGACTCCGATTTTGCGTATCTATGTATATCCCTCCCGATTCATCGACAGACGTATCAGCTAGGCGAAACATTCACATCGTCGATATTGTCTGGCGACTTTAAGCTTCCGCCCACGTCATCAGCTCCATCCACTTACGGAAAGGATGGGACATGCCAATGGACAAATACGGACCATAACCTTCCCTACGATTGGACGACAAGGATGTTGGATCCCTTGAGCTACGCGCAGCAGATCTATTCCAAGTTGAACGGATCATCTAGCAGTATTGACTCAACAACCTTGGCTCTCTTTTTGGGACGACCGACTCCCAGTTTAATGCTAGAGGTGGGCAAATTGACCGGACCACTTCCCGTGACGCCTCCGTCATATCTTCCAGTAGCATTACCAACTTTCGCTGCCCCATCTTCACCCTCCAAGTCTACAAAGGGATCAGTAAGGTCAAAAAGGTCTTATTCAAAGGCACAAGCTTCATCAACTCTGAAAGCGTCTTCGGCAACATTTTCAACTCAAACCATTTCCAAGATCACCAATCCCGACATCACTCTAGTCCTCCTCACTAGCAATCAAGCGTATCATTACGGTTGCCCTCGATTTACCAACATCAGCGATATTTTCACACCCCGGGAACGAAAACGACTTTCGACTCTCAATGGGACTGGATCGCAGGGTTCTGCAAAGAATGATATCGTCTTTACCCTATACGACGACTACCGTCGCAATGGACAAGATCCCAACATGAATGAAGGGGTTGAATATATCAGAGTCGTCATTCCCGTAACTGGAACCTGGCTTGGGTCCAACGAGACGATCACACTTCCAGCAGTTGATGAGGCTAACGGCTCCAAGACTGATGTTAGCGTCGATACTTCGCAGCCCACGTTACTGTTTATCCCTGGATCCTTGACATCACCAATTCTACCAGGCGTGCGTTCGCTTGACCAATCCCAACAATGGACTTTTCGTCGATATCTTGCACTCTCACGCATGTACAACGCACCGGAGCCTGCAGATGGCAGTCAAGTCTCAGTGTCTTCAGACGATCCAGTGGTCTCCGTCCTTGTAGTCGAAGGGAAACCAAGATTTGACTTGGCTGGAGGTTTCGAGGATGCAAGCTTCGTCCTTGAGGGCGCACTTCTCCTGCCCACACATTCAAGCAATCCCTACGTGTTGGCTGGCGTTGGAATAAACATCATCTTCAAAGCCAAGGATACTGCTGTCCAAGAGTTGTTAGTTAATGTTCGGCATGTCGAAAGCCATGATACTTCAAAGGAATGATTTCGCCACGGTTAATGAGCTCCTCGTTTCATGGCGAGAGCGGGATACGCCTACAGCTCACTTAGGGTAGACATTGATTTAAAAGGTTTATTCGAGGGTTCATGAGAAAAGAGCTAGGCCAGGATCAAACAATCGGTTAGGACAGTAACCTGGAAGTAATGTTACAAGTCCTGAATGAGTTTGGATCAGTTTCAAGAACTTGAGCGTACTGAACAGACTATAAAGTATAAAGTCAAGGCATGATTCTACTTGATATCCTGTATCTTTCTCTACTATATTCCAAACAGTTCAACATCAACACCCTGTCTCAATCAAGATGAAATTTACTCTCCTCACCCAAGCTTCTCTAGCCATCTCTTCCCTTGCCGGAGCTTTTGCTAACCCGACTCCTGAGATATGCCTCGCTGAGGCGTCATAAGCTTTAAGTATCAATCAAACCCGACTCCTGATATGTCCACTGGCAAGTGGTCCGCCCAACGTTGAGGATATTTGTATATTAACTATGTAGCAGGCTCTGAAGTAGACAAGCGGGCAGACTGTTCATTGACAGTTCATTATACCAAAGTCTGGGTCGAGTCCGGTTTGGATCGATATCGAATGTGGCTTATCACTGCCCCTCGCAATGATAAGCACCTCCAACTTTACTGCGAGGCAGGGTCTAATGTCTTGTATCTCACAAATCTCCAATGCTTCTGGTGAAGTGATGGAAAATACTATATTGATGCAAGCGTGGCCCGAGGCCCTGCAGGACATAAGTATGTATACCTGGTTCTAACTGTTTTCCTTGCTGACTTACAATCTCTAGGACCATCCAAGACACACACTCGGCGATGTGTGACGGCTTTGAACGACTCACTGGATGTAGCACAAAGAGAGAGTTCTAGTCTAACCTAATACTTGGAAATCTTAGTTGGACTCTGCTGGGTACTGATCGTACGGTAAATTTTAAGTCCTGGACCGCAGTGAAATATGTATATAAGTGGTGAACTTAGAGGTCAAGCCCATGTGTATACCAGGTCTATTTTATGCCTTCAATTAAAAAGCTTCGTGACTTATTATTGATTTCATATATATGATCGCAACAATAGGTACTCCGTAATGTTGGCACAATCTCAGCCCGATAATGCTGGGTAGTAGATAAATACCCCGTAACAGGGTATAATCCCTGCAGATCCTTGCTTTATCCCGGGCCAAGCAGCGGATCACATCGAGCAACATAGACAGCCACTTATGATCAATACCAACTTACAAATAAAAATTGTGTAGCTTCATTAAACTTTCTCTGAAGGCGAATTTCTATACACTGAAGTCACAAGCGATGTCTGCTTTGTTGATCCTTTAAACCTCAGCCGTTGATTACATAACCCTGCAGGGCTGAACAGGGCTTGGCATTTCATTTTCAACACAGCCTCAATAATCAATAATGTTGTTTCAGGCTCCCTCTCGCCACCCACTTAACCCTAACCTCAACCTCGCATCCCCAAAATGTCTGATCCGTTGAGTGTCGCCGCTTCGATCGCAGGACTCATCTCAATCACAGTAGAGGCCGTTAAGTTCCTCAGCCCATATGTGTCAGCAGCGAAAGAGACCCCGCAGGTCGCGGCGCACGTCTACTCTGAAGTCCAGAGCACCCAGGTCATACTGATGGGGCTTCAGAGCCTGACAAAAAACCTCAGGTCTGTTAACGTTCAGCACGCTGCCCTGATCGAGGTGAATCAGGTCGTGGCGATACTCACAGACGGGGTTCTGCTTTACTCGGAGCTGCATAAGGAACTTCAGTCCTTGTGGAGTAAAGATGGCGTGGAGAAAGTACCGCTCAGAGGGCGTTTACAGTGGGTATGGAAGGAGAGTACCTTTGTCACACTCTTGAACAGACTGCAGAGCTTCAAAAGCTCAATGACACTTGTCTTGATGATTCTGCAAAGGTGCGTTTATCGGGCAATGACTGGGACAACGTCTAATTCATTTTCAGTGACTCTTGCCAAACAGCAAAAGAACACCAGGAGCAGCTCTCCAATAACGTCAAGGCCCTTCTAGACAATAATAACGCTCTGTCTCGCAGGCTGATGAATCTAGAGGACGCTTTGGATGCTCAGACGATTATTTCCAGGCGCATGAGCATCCTCTCATTGAGCGCGTCTCCATCTGGAAACGCAACTCAGCAATTGACTGCAGAATCACCAGTTACATCGATCACCACCGAGAACAGCCTTGCTATATCCAAGTTTGACTTTGAAGACGATCTTGAGTCGTCACGCGTATATCGCCGCGCAGTGAGAGAAACCATGGACTATTCATTCCGGAGCTCGATTGCAAGATCACATAGTTGGTCTGTCTTCTCGGTATTGAGTCTAGGTGATGTATCTATCATGTCTGTTATCGCATTGCCGGTGTATCAGGACGATATCACCAATGCGGAGCACTATGATTTCGGAGAAGAACCTGCTCCCAATGCTGAAACGCATGCGACAGTCACGGGCCAGCCTTTGTTGATAGAATGCCTTGAGCTGAAGCTCAAGCTTCTCACGATACCGGGGATGTCGAGGTACTTTGATGAAATACTTCACTCTGCTGATGACTTCTCTCATCTCTGGTCAGTGCTTGAACAAGCTACACCACTGGCTATTCTTGCTCAGGCTTTGGACCCGACTCAAAATTTAGATGTCGGTCTACCAGAGGACCTTACCGATAATGCCAGGAAAGAACTGGTTTTATGGTTTGCTCAGTTCTGTCACGATAAGCTCGATATCCAAACGAGGAATCTGATTACAGTCCAGGATCTGATGGGGGGTAGCTCGTATAGCATTTTCAAGGCAAGGTCATATGGCAATACTGAAGCCCGAAAAGTTGCTAACTGTACTGCAGGTCATTTCACTCCTTTCAAATATCACCAAGAACTTGATAATCTCTGGTCCTCATATGAACCATTTGTCTTCAGTCAAAGCACAAGTCGACGCCCAGCCCCCAGAGCTTCAAAAGCTACTCACAGAGCAGCGCCAGTTTGTTCGGGATCTCGATGAACTCCTTGAGATGAAGGACCAACTTGAGATGCTTTCGGGCAACATATTTCATTGGTCAAGAGACCTCGCAGCTACATATGTCACATTCGGTCTTATTATAGAACGGAACCTTTTACTTCCATTAACACATCAGATATGGGCTCCAGCATTTGACTTTATTCTCATACTCATGAGATACGAAGCTTCATATTGTGTCTACTATAGCCGTCATAGAGCCAGCATACAACTTTGGCTTAAAGAAGGACGTTTCAAAGATGAAGATAAGACCAGAGAATCACTGGCAAGATGTTTGTATCTCTTGCCCACAAGAGCCAAAAGAATTTCTATGCTATTTGATTTCTCAGAGGTATATTCTCATCAAAGCACGTACCCTAATACTTGGATACTAACATCATTCAGTACTTGAAAGGCCAGCCAATGGCCACAGAGGAGCAGAAGAAGGATCGCAGCAGGTCTCAGTCTTCTATTGCGAAGATTGTTTCTCAGCTACAGGATAAGGATATATCTAGGGATACCGTAACGGCTGTTCAAGAGCTTCAACAACGAATAGAGGACTGGAAAGGCATTCGTCCAGGAGATCTCGGAGAGATGATTCTCTGCAAAACACTTTATGTGACAAAGAGTTCCAAAACCCACCTGGTGAGCTGCCTCTGCATGACACTCTCCATCACATCTAACGTCCCTGCAATAGTATCACGGGTATCTTTTCCAGAACATGCTTCTCCTTTGCAAAGAGGCTCGTGGTCAAAGCTCAGGAGAGTCATCGTTTTACAGGTCGAAATCCTCATCCGAACAGAAGCAGACAAAATTTATACTGAAGGGACGATTCCACCTGAGACATATAATCTCGGTCACTCCAATATCCAAACATGGTATGCTCCCCTCCTCTTGAGGTTTATCACTGTCACTCATATAAATAGCAACGCATGTATGTGAGGTTGAATGGGGGGCTGAAAACAGCGATAAGTCAGAATTCTCACTTGTGTTTGCAGTCGAGTCTGAAATGCGAACGTGGGCATCGAAGATCGACGAGTATAGAATGATGGCAATACTCATGGCAAGGCCAAAGACTGATTCAGAAGAACTGGATTCCCCAATAGATGAGAACACTGGTAGAGCTTTCCCCTGGGGGGTGAGTAAGGAGCCGTGGAAGCGCTACGGATTGATAAAATAGTCAATTGGGCCTCCTCAATGCCTTAGCTTGGGATACTATAACCTATAAAACGATCAATGAGTATCACTATAGAATAATCTCCTCAAATGTCACCGCATCGACATTAGCCTCAGCATTAGCACAGCTGAATCCAATATAGACACTAAGATAGCCATACTGATCCAGCTTATCCTGCCTAAGTGAGCAACCAACACTCAGAGGAGCCCATTGCCCATCAGCAGTATCGGCGAAGACTGTCACTGCGCCGCCTTGGACGGGATTGATGTTGATGGGGTCTCCATAGTAACAGGCGACAGCCATGGCATTGCACCCATCGTTGAACTGGCTATGGGTCGCATAGTCAACGCGGAGCCGGGCAGAAAGACGATAGAGTCCTGCTTTGAGAAGAGACTTGTCGATCTTTTGGTAGACTCCATTATTGACTGACTCGCCCTCTTCCGAGACATCGAATTGGAGTAGGGCATAGGCTGGACCTTGGTAGGGAGACGAAGAGCCAAGTTGAATGGGTCCGTTATCTGATAGCCAGGGGTTGACTGTTCCGAGATCGAAGTTACCGTTGATGAGGAGTTCTGTTGGCTCTGCTTCGGCGGTTGTGGTGGCTGTAGCGCTCTCGGCCATGGTCCTCGTGCCGTCGGTGGTGGTTGGTGCTGTAGTAGCATCACTGCTGGTGACTACTGTGGTGTCGCTGCTACTGGCGCCTGTCGTACTCTCGCTGTTGGCAATAGAAGTTGACGCCTCGCTCACGGACGCGCTCATAGTTGTTCCATCCTCCGTCAAGGTGGTTGTTGTTTCTGTCTCTGGTATCGTCTCGGTTGCAGTAATCGCAGTACTGGTCTCGATGGTAGTGGAAAGCGCAGTAGTAGTGTCGGATACAAAAGTGACAGAAGCAGTCTCAGTGGCAGATGTTACGATGCTCTGCGGTTTGCAAGGGCCAGCATTGACAGAAGCTAGCAACACCAGGTTTGCAAAAGCAGCCGCAATTAGCTTGTTGGATACCATTTTGGCAGGCTTCCGAAAACGACAGAAAAAACAAGAAACGACTGTGGTGGCTTTGTAAGAATGAGTGAACCAAGAAGACGAGAAAATACAGGACATTCACCAGTTTTATTTCAGTAGACTAGAGACTTGGTCAGGGGCATACAGACAACTATTGGCGACCTAGCGCGATTAACGGTCGGGGCACCCAATAGCGCCTCGATAGCGCTGATATCTCCCTTATGTGGACCAATGAGATTTCCAGCTTCATGGCTGGCTTCACATTTAAAATAAGAAATCAATTCAAAAAGTAAGCTTGTATTCGGTAGTGTTTTCATCTTTATTCGTATTCCACCTCGCTTTGTAATCGCTCAACAGGGCGGAAGCTAATTATATCAAGACATGCATTTTCGCGTACGCATCAGCGAACTGTTGGTATCTTGTCTTCAGCTTCCTAACCAGATACCGCTCTAGTCCTTCGACACTTCACCAAATGATCCCTTGTACCCATTCTGCTCCAGGTACAGTCGGAATTGAGCGTCTTCGCTCTCGAGCTCCTTGTCCTTGTCTGGAATGAGAAACCATGAAACAAGTCCACCCACTGCGGCAAAGCCAGCTCCGATGAGAAATACGGCCTGAATGCCTCGCTGTTTGTCGGAAAAGGAATCTTGGATTGGCGTAAAAGCTTGTGTCCCAATCGCCGCACCAGCCTTGCCCATTGCTGCTGCAAAGCCTAAGAAGTGACCTCGCAGAGGTGTTGGGAAAGACTCTGCAGCACAGAGAAACGTGGCGACCTGATTCGAAGTTAGTCCGTTTCACAACAGTTACTCTGAATGTTTGGGACTTACGCCAGGGCCCATCTCTCCTAGTGCGTTGAAGATGCCATACAGCACAATGAACAAGGGAAAGACAGACTGGATTGGGGAAAGCGCGCCACCGATGATGAAACCTAGGATCGTCCATCCGAGGAAACCCAGAGTCATGGTTTGTCTGCGTCCAATGCGGTCCATAAGAAGTCCTCCAACGACGCAACCGGGGAGGTAAAAGCAATTCACAACTGTACCGAAACCGATGTTCTGCTGAAGTGTGTCCTCAGGATTCAAAGTAGCGATGATCGTCGAGCTGAAGATTCCGAAAGGATATGTCTGGAAACAGTATCAGCAATCTAGACACAGTTCAACGATTCAACCGTGATACTCACCACAAAGTCATAGAAAAACCAGGCCAGTGATGTTCCAAGCATCGGCTTCCAATATCTCTTGATGACAAGCAGGTACGGTATGTCCTGCTTGATCGCATGCTTCTTGTATTGTGTCGAGTCAAACTGGCGAAGTCGAAGGAACAGAAGAGCTACTGGTAGGATAAAGCCGATGCCAAATTTGATTCGCCACACGCCGTCACCAACATGTTGATGATAGGCTGCAAGCACGATTAATGCCACGACACCTGCCATGACAAATCCGAGATCAATGGAGAAGTCTGTTGCAGCGGCGACCAGAAGTCCACGTCGACGTCTCACGAATGAGGTCTCGTCTGAAGCTTCAGTACTTCCTGTACCGCAAGTAGGATATTCGCCTACAGGTTTCATCAGTCAAATCTTTTTCTCAAATCGAGTCCCTTTTTGGCACTTACCACCAGCACCAAACCCCGCAACACCTCGTCCAACGATCATCATCCAGAACATGCCCAGCTCAGTCTTGCCATGCGCCGCAGTAGCCAGGATGATACCCAGAACCAAGAACAAGGTAGCAAACACTATACCAGTCCGTCTACCAAGCCTATCAATAGCATAGCCAAAGAAGAGCATGCCGAGGACTTCGCCGATAAGAAATGCATTGGAGAGTCGAGTCTTGATCGAGCTGGAGAAGCTGTCGGGGTATAGCTTGGCAAATACCGGGTTCATGTATCCAATGATCTGCGCGTTGTAGCCATCTGAAAATAGAGCGAGGCCACTCGTCAGGATTGCTGTAATGGCTGATAGGCGAGACTGGGTAGGAATCTCAACGTCTGTGGCGTTGACGACAGTGTTGTTTTTGAAGGATTCATCATCTTGTTGGCTCTTTGAAGCACCCGCGTCTGGAGAGACCTTGCTATCCATGATGCTGGTCTTGGAACTGATAGTATTGGAATGATCTTTCTTGGGAGATAATATCCGGCAATATGCTTGAGGAGCTCTCAACTTATATATACAAGAGTTAGACTAAGGATATCCTCGCTTTGCAACACCCTCCTTCTCGTATAGTTTGAAATACAATTCTGTTCAAAGACGGACGCTCGCGTGCGCTGATTGTAGAACATTATTGGAGGTTCATACGAAAGTTGTTATCTTATTCAATAGCCAGATGCTCAATGAGTGCACGTGGGCAGCGTTGTTGGGTTTGGTTGGGCTCGATTGTCTTTATATTAAGAAATGGTTGCCGATGCCCCGACGAGAATTTGACGTCTACCCTTGCTCTCGTCTCCATGTTTAAGACACCGAAACCTTCCTAATTCCCGTCTGCTCACACTAGGCCTAGCTGGTACCCGTAGGTCTGATCTGAAGTGGGCCATGCTACTGTATCAACTCGAATGCGGGTATAAAACAGCATTAGTCTCGGTTACTCGGCATGCTACAGTTGCATTTCTGTGTGCTTCTCTGGGCCCATGCTGGAGTTTCCCGTCTCATTGCTTAGAGCAGAATGCCCGCAGTGGGAGACTAATGCAGCTAGTGTCCAATAGCCGACAGGCCTCGATATCTTATCTCGAACCGAGTAGCGACCAACAGATCATTGATGTCAAATGAGGATGCGCATAGACCTCACGAGACATATTATTTATTGCGACTTGAAGACCTAAAGACTTTGAAACATCATGAGAAATATAAATGTTAACATAACCTGGTCAAGTTGATCAACCCACCGCATATACCTAAGAACTCACGGCTTTGTTATTCCCATTCGGACTTTTCGCTTATATCCATCACGCACAACTTTTCAAGATGGTGATCAGTGATGATCAGATTACCTTCTTCAAGAAGAACGGCTTCTTGATTGTCCGAGACCTACTGGAACCTAACCAAGTCAAAGACTTGCAATCATGGGCTGAGGAAGTCCGAAACTGGAAACCAACTGAGGATTCTGAATTCATGCCGTACGAGGTATGAGACGGCCGAAGTCGAGTATTTTTGAGACGAAGAACTAATTGTCAAATAGGAGGTTAATGACAAAGGCCAAACTGTTCTCTGCCGAACAGAGAACTTTGCCGATTGCCACAATGGATTCAGCAATCTGCTCCGAAGCCCAAAGTTGCTTGGTCTTCTGAACGATCTCGCAGAAGAGCCTATGCTTTTGTTCAAGGAGAAGATTAATTACAAACTCGCTGGTAGTGGTAAATAGAGAGCCCGTAGAGACATACTCATTCTTGTCTAGAACTGACCGTTGGCAGGCGGATTCGCTCCTCATATTGATGCTGTTGCCTATACGCACATCAAGGATGTCAAGCACTTGACAATTCTTCTCAGTGTCGATCCTTCAAATATTCGCAATGGAGGTCTGGAAGTTGTTGATGGAAGCCACGAAATGGATGTTCCCATTAACAAAGCCACCAACTGCATTGAGTCGACTTGGGTTGACTCTCAGACCTGGACTCCTGTTGAACTCGAAGCTGGTACGTCACCCAGGTTCTATATATACAGTACCGTGAACTAACAATTCTAAGGCGAATTACTCATCTTCACTTCCTACCTAGCTCATCGCAGCGGTGCCAACAAGAGTAGCTCTGACCGCAAGGCTATCTATGCAACCTACAACCGCGCTTGTGAAGGGGATCTACGCCAGGGCTATTACGAGCACAGGAAGCAGGAGTGGCCAGCGACGCATATGCGAAAGGCTGGCAAATCTTATGAAGCGGGGGCGTTGACGTATGGCTTTGGATCTCCTATGCTTAGCGTAGATGCCGGAAAGCAGGTTACATTTTAATCGACTATATCCTAGCTCAGTTTTAGTTCAGCCTGGTTTTTAAATCACTAGATATTCCTCCAAGTCCTCTGTTCGATGCTCATTTATGTCATGGGTCCTAAAGAGTCCTAAAGTTAAAGGCTGAAAATATGAAAAGAAGACCTAGTCGCAGTCCTTGAGGCCAAAGTCCGGTACCTTAACACAATACCTGTATGGCTTTGACCTGTAGGGCTATAATTTCCTGAACAATAGTTGATGCTGATTCTGTAATATCCCCCTTGATAATCGTAGCAGTGAGCTCAACATCTTGCTGCACTCAAGCCTACAGGGGCTTATCACCACTAGAGTCCACTAAACTGTAAATGGCTAGGTTTCTTGACCCCTGTTACCCACTCGAAGCGACAGGCGAGAACCGAGAGCCGAAAATCTTGAGATTTCGCAGATCTGAAACGCAGGGGCCATCATTGGCTCCAATTGCGTTGATCAGGCATGGTGAATGCATAGGTCAGGAATGGTGAGTTGGCTTAAGTAGTAGCTCTCACGAGAATGCGATAAGCCCAAGGCTTAATTTATAACTTGGACTTATTTTCCCGCTATACCAACCCTTCAGTTCAACATATCACTTATCCTTACTTGAGAGTCTACACAATCATGGAACTTCCAACAATTCCCACGCCATCTTCCGTGGCAGAGTATGTCATATCTGTTCTTCAAGCCTCCGAAAGCACACCCTACATCGGAGAGCCTATCTCTCAACTCCAGCATTCTCTTCAATGTGCTGCTCAAGCTGCCTCTGCTTCACCACCAGTGGACGAAGCAACTCAAATTGCTGCATTACTCCACGACATCGGTCAATACGCACCTGCGAAAGACCTCCACAAACTCACCGGCGGAGAAGCCAGAAACCTCGGTGGACAAGCAACAGGCTCAAGCGTCGGTAGAGTCGGGCACGAGACATTAGGTGCACAATTTGTTCTTGCGCTCGGATTTTCTCAAAAGGTTGCGCGATTGGTGGAATCACATGTTTCTGCTAAGCGATATTTATGTGCCGTGGATGAAGGGTACTTGAGCAAGCTTTCTGACGCGAGCAAGAAGAGTCTTGGTTACCAGGGCGGGCCGATGAGTGATGATGAGAGGGATGAGTTTGGTACTGATGAGTGGTGTAAGGAAATGTGCCAATTGAGGGTATGGGATGACGAAGCCAAGATCGAGGGGCTTGAGGTCAGGGACTTGGAGAGCTGGAGGCCGGTATTGGAACGACAATTAGAATCAAGTCAGGGCAACATGGTTTAGGTATATAAAGTTATGCATATCATTCATAACCTGCATAACCTATAGAAACTTTTTATCCACTTGAACAAGAGTATGTTGTTTTGACCTCGTAGCGAGATACTTTAAGTTTTGCGCATTTGTATTAGAGGAATATTGACATATTATGGCAAATCATTTAGCACCTGATATAGAACTCAGGTAAGAATGCAGAGAGCATCATTCAATAGTTGTATCAGTAGCTATTTATATAGGTCTTGTCTCTGCTTGTTGATGTATTGAAAAATATATATCTTTTTCTTTTTGTCTGCAGGGTAGTTTTATATCCTTATCCCAGGCCGAAGTGGAGCGGTAAACGGCAACCAAGATATGATAAGGAGCGAGATAAGTATCTCGCTTAAAGATAAGATATGTCGCTTGCAGATAAGCCCCGCAACGTGCTCTTCTCCTCTGAGCCAATCAAACACACACATGGTAATCGTCAAGTCTGATCTGGGGCTTGCGCGATCTCATTTCAGGCGAGGCTAGTGATTGGGAATGGATTGGATTGACGATATCATGAACCTCTACATCTCGTTACGAGCACTGCAGCGGAATCTCGGCACGTATCCGACCCGTGTTGACGCCACGTCGAAGAACCCACCGACACGACATGCAGAATCCGAGGCATCAAGGTTATCGCGGTCGAGTCCGGAGTGGTTGTCTCACTTGCCGAGCTCGCAAAGTCAAATGCGACGAGGCCAAGCCCGTCTGTAATAATTGTACACGGCTACAACGCCAATGCACATACAAACCTCGGAGGGTCTTCCGTCAGACTGCCAGCGTGGACAATTCGCCACCGTGTCAAGAATCATCTGTCCGCTTTGAAGCCATAGCTCAAGCATCTGAGGCACATGATATCAGCCAGTCCCATTCAAGTCCGTCACTCACTGAAGACTATGAGAACCAGGGGTCCTCGAAGGTGCTCTCGACCGAGAGAACGAACCAAACACCTTTTCTATACGAGGGCAGAACAAATGTCGATGTTACTGCTTGCTTACAGAAAGCTCTCCAATACCGAAGTACAGTCCCTATCGTGGATAATAACTACGAGCGCGATGATTCGCCTTTGAACTTGATATCACGGGATATCGAGTTGACAACTACACTCGACATCCTTACCCTCCGTACCCAGTCCCCTTACATGACGGAACTCTTCCTCGAATCGGTGGAATGCCCTGGTATCACACCATTCGATCCTCTCAACTGGAAACTCGCCAAACAGAATATCGTGCATATGGGAAAGTCATGTCTAGCTATTTCTTCCGGCATCACAGCTGTAGCGACTCTATGCAGTGGACAGGTCTTTGCACTTTCGACGTCTGAGTCGCTCTCCCGCTATCACTCCGCGAGAGAAAATGTTAAAGAGCTTCTGGGAGATGACGAGAAAGAATTTGACCTTGCATTAGTGGCTGTCTTTCTGTTGTGTATGTTTGAACTGATCCACTCTGGAGATATTACACCTTACCTGAGAGAACCAAGCCGAATCTTCATACCGAGGCTACAAGCTTGGGTACAGACTCAAACTTCCTACTCGGAGCTTTCCACACGCATAGTTACTTGGTTGAAGATCCTTTACTCAGCTTCCTTTCGAGGTGGAGCAATGGGGTTGCTATCTGAAAGGGTATTCAGTCTCCTCCCAAATTTCACTGGCCCAATACCAAACCTCCGACCGCCCGGTGACCAAGAGCCAGAGATATCCAATCATCTGTTCGAGGTCCTGAGCGCTCCCATCTTCGACTTCTACTGTCAACTTCAAACACTATCTGGAGAGATTGCCAAACTGTCCCTTTACCATCGATCACGCACGAAACGTAAAGACCAACAGGAGGTAGTTGAGCGTATGGCGACTCTGAAGACCCGACTCCGAGCGCTATGGGCAAGTCGGTGCGCCACACAGCGTCAGTCTCCGGAGCATTTGCGATCCCAAATGGTCCCCCGGATCGCGGATATGATTTCGAGTCTCATCAGTATTTGTGAGGCTGCATATCATGCTGAGTTCATTGACATAGGCAGACAGCTGGGCGATCCGGTGTCCCAGTCGCCGGATTCGATCGAAGGATTGGACAGGATTAGAGAGATTGTGGAAAGGGACTGTGGTAGCGATGACGAAGGAAGGTCGAGAGCTATCAATCCCGGCTACTTGAGAACATTATTTCTGTGCGCTATAGAGAATACAGACAAGGAGCAGACCGACTGGGCGATCGAGAATCTCGCCAAGATCCAGAATCGTGTATATCGGTCAGAGTTCTTCTCGGCATTTGCTAAGGCACTTTCAGAGGCACAAACGCGCAACGACAGGAGGGTTACCTCGAGGTATTTCTGCATCTGGTATTTTGGAATCACGCCACCATTTCTGTAGGAGCATGGACAAAAAACCCTGAGTAAACAACTATTGTTCTAGTTACGGCACTGCTAAAACTGCCTGACTCAACTCTCTTTCCAAAGCCCCATTCTCGACAAACAGTTCTTCACTTTCCATCATTGACTTTGGTCGTTTTGGAGCCTTGTCCTTATCTAAATTTGGTGCAAACAGTGACTCCTTCGCCCCGGCCCTTTTAAGAAGCTCCTTGCAATTAGCGCAAGGGGGCATCAAGTTTTTCCAAACATCACTGCTACCCCATTCTTCATAGTCGGGATACTCCGCCTTGTGCATGAATTTACTTTTGAGCGCAAGGCCTGTCATTGAAGTTCCGTTCTTAGTTGTATCTCTAGAAACGGATTAGCAACAGAACTTGGTCTCTACAATGGAAGCACACGTACGGTAGGAATCTGATCGCAAATGGATACGTTTCGGCGCAGTTTCCATACGGGACCATGTTGCGCCCGGCATTGTCAGGATTCATGTTGGGAGCCGTCTTGTCTCTGAAGTCGTTGGCCTGAACCATGGGCACTTTCTGACATCTGAATAGCATATCAAAACGGGCCTCCTGTGCTCTCTCCCTCCAAGCTCCGGTATATGTGGGGTTCTCCTCAAACTTGTCTCCGGCGTTGGACGCCCCTAGGAAGTACTGCCCCCAATGCTGCTTGGTGCTGGGGTCCGTTTCGAGATACCATGTACATTGGAATACATACGGCAATTCACCCTCTCCTTGAATACTTGGCCATGGATCCCACTTCCAACCTGGATCTGCCTCGCCCGCGATACGTGAGCACCAGCGCCCGTAGACAGCTGTGAGAGGGAGGTAGAAGTTGTTTTTGTCAGCAGCGGCCGGCGCTGGACCCAGGAGGCTAAGGAAAAGCCCAAGGAGATCGTAGGGGCACCACCATTGCGGCATGGGACCTAATGCGGGCTGTGGAGTATGCCTGAAGTACCAACCACTGACAATGAACCTACATGATGTTGGAACATCCTGGTTCCAGCTACTGTCCATCAGTCGTGCAATATGCGATGATGGTTGCTTTGTTACGTCCTTGTACAGACTGCCATTCTCGAGCCTTGCTTTGGTGAGTAACTAGGTCTAAATCCAAAAATCAAGAAAACAGCATGCAATACTTACGAAAGGAGGGTCACGCGATTGTGAATATCCACAAGGAGAGTACCCAGTTCTTGATTTCCGGGCTGGGCTCGAACTGCGTCAGCAGTCTCCCTCATCCATTTGTAGATCTACTGCAGTATTAGTCTGAGTCTATACTGAGGTCGAGGCACGAAGAAGGGATCGAGTCTAGCACAGGTATCCTTCCAGAGCCCAAAGTACACACCTTGTCTCTGTCCCATTTATAAGCGGCACGGAACCAACCTTCTCCAGGATTCGCCCAACGAGGTTCCAGAAGGGCAAAGGGTTGGGCTGGCATGCTTATGTTCTTGGTAGATGACTAACTGAAAGTACGACGAGCTCTGATTGTTAGAATTATTCTTGTTGTCTGTGGATAAATAGAGGAGAGAAAGAGCAGATTCCTTTTAAGACGGTGGCATACAATTTCCCCTCTTGCTCTTGGACAAGGCACGTGATGAATATTTGCGCATAAATTCGGGCTCCCGCCCTTCATGTTTCGGATCAAACTCTCCTCTTGCAAGTACACCCGACCCCCCTCTTTCAGTTCCAACCTCAACCAGAAATACCGAGTCGTTCAACCACTTCCAGCTGCACAAAGATGGTACGTACAAAGCAGATCTCTTTTGCCAAGCCTCCCCTAACTACCCCGCCAGTCTATCCCCGCAAATCTTGTCCCCGACGATTGGACCACCGACCCAGAGGAGATGGACAAGGACTTCTATTGGGGAACTAACGGGAGTGGTCGGTTGGCTGCAGCCGCTGTCGGTATCACCAACCCGGAAGGCCTCATGGTCAAAGAGAGGGAGGAGGGAGGAGACGCGTATCTGTTCCAGGACGCAAATGGGATCTACTTGTGGAGTATGCCCACGAATCAGGTGTACAAGTACACCAAGCCAACCAGTCGCGATGAAATTCTAGCCGAGATGCGTAAACCACCGGGTCGCGGAAAGACGGAACTGACGTTGATGCCTCGACGTTCTTAGATTGGTGCATGAGCAGGCTTCTTCTGTATGCAGCTTGATCAGGACATGGGACACTATAAACTGCTCTCCTTGTATTCCGTAGCATTTGTTACTGTACATTGACCGGTCTTGTAGCATGTCTCATAAATGCAATGTCTGCATACGAAAAGTTCCATACATCGATCTTGGCATGCTTTTGGCCCAGATCGTCATTCTACACCAATCAGCCATGGCGGTAAAACGAAACCTGTGTCGCTGCAGTCGGCGTAGAGATTTAACTTGTGCTTGGCTACCTGTGCCACGAAGTAACAGCAGATATTGCCAGTCAATGGCTGAGACACGCATAAAAGAATCTGCCGTGTCTCACTCGAGTTACTCGAGCAGAGGCACAGCCATCAGCGGACTGCATGAGCATTGCCAACCATTTCTAGATCAGGAACAGCAAGAACTGGCGTACATTGGTAAGAAATGCAACACATCATCGTTGCGGCTGCTACTATGCTGCAGGTATTCGGGCCGTGGGGGATCTGCATCTTGCAACAGCATCACAAAGATGGACACAGAGTTACAAGTCTGACATATGATATATGCAAGAATACGGATCTGGAAGTGTATGCAGCAAGGCCAAAACGTCCTCTGAACGTGTGAGACAATTGTCCTTAGTACCATATCGTTAAATGCAAATTATGCCAAATCCTTAAAAAGAGGTGTACGACGTTTTGGCGGCGGCGGAATGCAAGAGACCGAAAACAGAAATGGAAAAGAGAGAAGGGAGAAGGGTGAATCTTCGATGCTGATGCCACTGGTATGGGAGTGCTTAGTCCCGTGTATCTCGAGAGCTCCAACAGAAGCTGATGGTTAGATGTAACTCTTGCATAAGCCAGCCCACCTCTTGCAATCAGGCGGGCTATGGATAGAATCTTGAAGGAAATAATATAGACCTAGGAGAGATGAATGATCGTGATTACATAGTGGAAACCTGGTAGCTAAATGCTTTACTAAAATCCTTCTTTCCATTCTCCCTAATGCCTAACTACTTCAACAGACAAATCAGGATTCTGCACGATCATCACATTGGGCTCCACCAAGTCAAGTGCAGGATTCCGGCAATATCTCGCCCGAGACCGAATAACTGCCGTTTTAGTTCCAGCGGGAGAATTGATACTGGCCAAGCCAAGCAAGAAACTCAGCTCAGGCACAGCCGGCGCCATGACCCAACCCTTCTCAGCTCTAGGCAGTAGGCGAATACGCAAGTAGTATCTGTTTTGGTTCTGATCATAAAACGTCGTTGGAATCACATTGAAGCGCAAGTTCGTCAGCATGTGTGCGCCAGGTCCCGTGTAGTTCGACATCAAAGCATAGGTAGCATCATTGGTTGAACCCAATGTGATGTCGATGGTGACTTCCATGAGGAGGTACTGATTGATCTCGCTCTGCTTCAGGACGATAGAGAAGATAAGGTCCTGGGGAAGATTCCATCTGTCGAGAACGATCTGGCTATTATTGCCGATGCCAGCCTGGTTGCTGCTGACTCGCATGAGGAATCTAGGCGCTGATGCTGGCTCAGAGCCAGATGGCTTGTCTTTGAAGGGGCGGGGCCCAACCTCGCTGCCATGAGTGATGGTGGGAGTGATGTCTGGGACGCTGACACTTGAGCCTCGATGAAGTGGCATCGCTCGAACATGGGGTGAGAGGTAGTTTGAGACAACATCCAGCGGAGAAACATAGTCTTCAGCTCTCATGAAGCTATCCTCACGACCTGTATCATTGTACTCATCCTCACCATGTGGCTCATTCTCCACTGGCGCTGCAGAGACTTCAGATCCGAAAGCGGAAAGTTTCTTTACTCTAACAGCTTCCATCATGTTGATAGTTCTCAACTCCGGGCTGCCGTCTCTCATGTCCGGGGGAGCCAGGTCTGCTATCGCCTGCACAGCCATAGCACGGTCAGCCATGTTGATGGTCAAGTTATAGATAGGATCATTGAGCTGCATAGCAAACAGTGCAGAAGTTGAGGCATCATCCGTAAAGTAAGCTGAACCATTTCCTCCCTGCTTCCCCATCATATCTTGCAATACTTCGAGCTGTAGGTCTGCGAATGCGGGAAGGCGTAGTATACGCAAGTCGCCGATATTTTGGCTGGGCACAGAGTTCCATATGAAAATGTTCTTCTCCGTAGTAGGAGTGTATCTAACTTCCTTGAGCGCCTTGTGCCTATCCTTGTCTGTCTCCCTGGTGGCTTGGTCAACAGTATACTGCCGTCTGATATCGACCTTGATCTCCTCACTGCTTAGACCACGAGCAACAGCGAATCGCTGCTGATGAGCTGGCTGTGTAAACACAAGAGATGAGAACTGCGCAGAGCCAGGAACGCGGTCCATGAATGCCATCATGACACCATCTGCGACAATCTCATGCCGTAGAAGAGGTGCACCTGCAGGAGGATCTTGGCCAGCAGCTCTGAGGGCGCTATCATCCGATAAGACCTCGACGCGAAGATCTGGGAACATAGTCACCAGGTCTGAGCGGAGATAAAAGCCATAAGCAGGAATCTGGACACGATGATCCATTCCATCTGGTGTGCGGCCGATGTAGTCATTGAGTGCTTTCTTGATAGCGACTCGATCCTCGTCAGTACCGAAATGGTTACCGAGGGATAGAGCGCCGTCAATCAGAGCGTCAATCCAGTTCTTGTCGATATGGAAGAAGCGCAAGTTCTCTTCTGGGAGGTAACTCGGATCAGGTATGAGATAGTGCGCTGGTACACCCGCAAGAAACATACGGTCGATCAACCACGAGAGCACAGTCATCCAGTCTGAGGACTGGGGATCATTGGTCTCGTCGTAAGGGTCTCCCGAACGACTCGCAGCCAGTTTGCGAACAGAGTGAATCGCAGCAGCTGGGTACTTGTCCTCAAAGAGAGGAGACTCAAATGAGAGCGTTGGTCGATCACGGCGTTGGAGCTTCTTGTGGTGCCATCGCTTCTTGGCTCCTCCCTGTCTGAACCTAGGACTGCCAGGATGTCTTCCATCAGGAGCGCCACCGGGTTCTTGAGGCTCTGAACCACGTTTTTGAAGATGGATATCAGCGAGACCCTTCACCATGGACGCGAGGTCCTGGAGGAGATCGTCGCGAGTGCGAAATGCAGTGTCTTTCACATCCTTGACCGCATTGATCTTGACCTGCTTGGCTGCGGCGGCATGTACGGCAGTTCTGACACGTCCCAGCGCAGCTACAAATGCTTGATCGCCGAGAGCCATAGTACGACCAACCTGCCAGGCGACAGAGTAGGTCACATCCATGATGCCCAAATTCTTATCAAGAATCTGCAAATCCACGCCAGAGGTTGAGCACTTGGTCAGATGCTCCAAAGTAGGCACATACGTGGGAGTAAATGGACCTCGATACAGCGCCACAGTTGCCTCGCCTGTCTGAACATGGTATTTGACCAATGTATACCCATCGCTTAGACGACGACCGACAAGTTGCTGGGCCTTGTCGTTAGATGCTTTGAGAGGTGCGATGATTTCATCTGGAGCCCGCAGCACGCTTAGAGTGCGACCAAGGTTCTCGAAAGCATCTGGAACATTGAGGGTATTTGGAGGGAGGACTGTGTAGTTCCAGCTGTACAAAGAGCAGAGGGCCACGTATCGATGGTTCTGGCTTGGATAGCTCATGGCTTCGACGCCTTCAATAGAGACCAGATGTGCGCACATGGTGGTTGGAACGACATTGTCAAGTGGACCAGATCTGTTGCCAACGACGATGCTGAAAACTGCTGTGTCCTCAACACCAGCAAGAGCCATTCCAGAGCCATTGATCTTGCGCACGTGGGAAAGGTACTTGTACTGGGACGTCTCTGGCCCACTGCCTTTGGCGCGATTGCCTTTATCGTCAAATGTCGAGAAAAGACTGGTGAACAGCTCTGGCTGCACAAAGATGAAGTCTCCACGACTGTCTTTCATGGAAGCTGGGCCAAGGCTGCTTGTGACGGGCGTCGTCACATCAGACTTCAACTTCCATAAGTCATCGATGCTCATGTTGACCGTCATTGTGGACGATTGCTTGACCGGCTTGAGAACACCATCACTGGTATTGCTGAAGAGACTGCCTGAGCCATCGAGATCTTCTGGGGGCAGACGAAGTTCGTCTTGGGCAAATGCAAGAATGGCAAGCCACGGCACACGATTGCGCGGTATGTTGCTAGCTTTCTCTGCGCCCAGGGCCACTCTATTCATCTGGGCCTTGAGAGCCTTGTTGCTTCCGCCCTTTGGACTACCCAGCCTCTCCCACGGGAGATGCGGATCCGTCAAGACGATATGCGGCAAGATCCGAT